GGCCACCTTCTCACACCATCTCTACACACCATCTCTACACACCACCTTCTCACACCATCTCTACACACCACCTTCTCACACCATCTCTACACACCACCTTCTCACACCATCTCTACACGCCACCTTCTCACACCATCTCTACACGCTACCTTCTCACACCATCTCTACACGCCACCTTCTCACACCAGCTCTACACGCCACCTTCTCACACCATCTCTACACACCACCTTACTCCTCCCTGTGCTACCCTAATGTATCACTGCCTTTCAGATAGAATACTTGTTTTTAAGACGTAATGTTTCATCCACATTCCCATTTCAGGCCCGGCAGCTCCTGGAGAAGGAGTACAACTCCCTAATTTCCACAGGGACCGAGAGAAGGCCAGAGGAGGTACCAGCATGTAAAGATGATGCTACAGTTTGAAGATGGTGGAACGCCATCAGAATCATTCACACGTAGGCTGACCTGTTAATGGCGTGATATGTTGCCCCCGCAGGACGGCACCAAGACCTTCACCCGCTCGCCCTCTTGGAGGAAGGACCTAAGAGGCGTCACCTCCGACTCCTCGGAGACCCTTCCCCCCAACTTTCGTGCCTCAGCAATTTCTGCCCCCTCCGTGACCCTGAGGAAAGTCCAGAGTGAGGGTGAGCCCCCACCCTATTGTGTGGGCACCTCTGTGTGTCTGAGGGCATGGGGATACTGTAGAGAGCTCTAATTTTCACTCCAGTCTGCTCCAGTTAGCAGATACCTCCTACAATACTTGTAATGAAATCTGTTGTGTTAATATAATAACCAATTGGATTGGCTGCAGCGGAAGGGTGGCCCCTTCTGGACAAAGTTCATCATTTCAAAATGGGTAATGCTTCCTGTAGCCAGAAGAGGGCAGCCTTGCTGCATGGCTCAAATGGTACTGGTGTGGTTTGTGTGTGGAGGTTTTACTGAACCTTCTGCTTTCTCTGCCAGCGAGCTCTGGGTCCAGAGGGGAGTCAGGATCAGTGAGAACATACTCCTGCTGAGGACCTCACTGAGGGTGAGGAGATACTGTGCCTTTCACTTTATTCACCATTGAAAGTGACACAAACCTGCAGCATCCAGCAGTGCGAGCTTTCCTGTGCTGCTCCTAACCTCTCCTCTCCTGTCCTGTGCTCATCAGGGATCACATCATCTGGCAGGTTTGCAATACCAGACACAGGACCGTCAGAACCACACAGAAGACCTGATTGTAGGAAGTGGTGCTAACAGTCTGTGTGTCTGTCCCTCTCTGTCCATAAGTGAGCTGGGCTGGAATCCTCCTACTCTCCAGAAGGGATATCAGCCCTTAATCTGCCAGTAATGACACTTTGCTCCCTATGGCCATTTTTGCTCCACACCGGGGCAGGTCTTCACCCGGATCCATCTTTTATTAAAGCCAGAGCTAGTGTTCATGTAGGCCACCTAATTCAGTTTAAAGGGATCAATGAGGTCAAGATCAGATGCCACCACAGATGGGATCCTTCCAGTCGGTATGTGAGCATGGACAGTTCTTACTGTCCTCACAGGGCGCTTACCCAGCTCACGATGGGCCGATCTGGCAGATCAGTCTGATAGCCACTGAATGGGAGAAAAGGCAGAGGAGAAACACACAGATGAAAAGATTAGCGCTATGTACAGTAGCCATTAACTTAGATGGGCTTGGGGAAGCAAAAAGGCAAGCAGAACGGAAACATAAAAAGAGAGGATACTGGGAGACAGGGAGGGGGAGAAAGAGAGCACACTGGGGGACAGGGACGGGGAGATGGGGGGACACTAGGTGACAGGGAGGTGGACACTGGATGACAGTCAAGGGGAGAGAGGGAGGGGGACAATGGGAGACAGTCAAGGGGACACTCGGAGACCGGGAGGGTTAAACTGGGTGACAGGGAGGGGAACACTGGATGTCAGTCAAGGTGAGACAAGGGGAGATGGGGGGACACTGGGAGACAGGCAGGCAGACGGTGGGAAACAGAGTGTTAAACTGGGAAACAGGGAGGGGAAGAGTGGAGGATAGAAGGACAAGTTCTACTTCTGTGTTAACATGCATGACAAACAGTGAAAATTAGAGAGTATCACATGAAATCAAACAAAAAGCAGTTATTCAATGATGATGAGAACTGGAGGATAAACATTTGTAAAATGTGTGCATTTGATTTTTTAATTTAATTTTTATGAGAATTATTACTATTACTATTGTATGTATTGAGTAACTGTATGTACATGTTCATTTATTACTTTAATTTATCTAGTTTTAACAAAAAAAGGATAAGCGATTTTAAAACAGACAGTAAAATATGCTAATTGAATGTGAAATTGTGTGTATGATTTAAAGACAATATGAACAATTCTGAGGGTGGAAGGGGTGAAAGAGAGTGACTCTGATCGTCAAGACAATGCAAATAAAGTGGTGTGTGCTGCTTCAAATGCGATTATGAATTGTTACTATGGCGACAGCCATACACACTCAAGGAGAAGTGTAGCTGAATTGTTGCCAGAGCCATTACTGGGGTGACACTATGGGAACAGCCTAGGTTTCCCACAAAATGTGATGGTGCAGCGGAAGTGTCACCAGGCGACTGCTTGTCCCCACTACCCCGGGTGCCATGTGGCTGAATCATCACCATGGTTAACCTCTACAGCCTGCCCTTCAGTCACAAGCTCACAGTGCAGCTGAAGTATCTCCATGGCAACGGTCATATACAAGAGTGTTTAACAATGTACAAGAGCATTAGTGGCATAAATGTAACTTATGCTCATATAAGTATATTTGTATATAAGTATATACACAAATATACCAGCAGTTTGGTGATTCAGAACACACAAATACTATACACATATGTGACTGAATGGCATACGATGCATGTTCTGCAGGCTGTGTTCACGTTGGGTCTGACTCTTGTTGTTTCTGTGTGCAGATCCCTAAGCCATTTTCCCTCTTTCCCTCTCAATCAGCTGCTTAGTTTTAATAAATATAAAAGCATGCATGTAATATCCTTACAATATTGAAATTTGATATAAAACTATAAAAATACTGTATGGCAATGGATCAACAATTGAATGTGTAAATGAGCACAAAGGCCATAAAATGAGATTTCATTGTGCTGGCACTTTGCTGGTCTTTCTGACGGACAAGGGGCTTGACGTAAAGGTTGGACAGGTTGTCTAGGTCTGCATGGCCCAGTACAGCAGCACACACACAGGATGAATCGATATGGATGCACCTCCATCCCACCTTGCTGTTGTTGATGGTCAGTGCCTTAACATACCAATGCTTGGCCTTGCAGTCACTTACTGCCTCCGTTCCACAGCTAGGCAGCTGCCACCTGCAAAGTCCACTTGGTCAGTGACAGAGACTGTGCCGAAGTCCACTTGGTCAGTGACAGAGGCTACGCCGAAGTCCACTTAGTCAGTGACAGAGACTAGTCTCTGTGCAAAGAGACACCTTCAATGAGCCAATGGACCTAAAAAATTAATTTGTGAAATGGCTTAGCATCAAGATAGTACTGCAAGAAAGCTTTGCGACACTGCAGTACTATAAGATAGCTTAGTCTCATGTAGCAGTGAGAAACAGCTTAGTATCAATATAGTAAAGTAAGATAGCTTAGCATTGGTATAATAATAAGAAATAGCTTAGCATCATTGAAGTAATAACTGTCAGCATCGTAAAGTAAGATAACTTAGCGTCACTGTAGCACTGCAATATAGCTTAGCAGCTCCATTACTTGAAGTACAGTATAGAGATTCCTGGTCAAATAATACTCCAATACAAGTGAACATACTTTTACTTGAGTTAAAGTACTGGAGTCCTTGTTTTAATATACTTATATTTTTTATTTAATTTATTGCCACAATGCATTTACAATGCATTTACAAACACGTCCGGGAACCACCACTACAAGCACAGACAACTTTGTTTAAAATATTTAATGCAATTAAACAAACGTTTACATAACATGCTTTCTCAGATTTAACAAGAATTTTTCAAGACACCGATTGTTTGTGCGCAGTAAACACAGGAGGCATTTAAAACAATACAAATCTTTTTTCATTTCTAAAATGAAAACAATGTATTTCAGATATGGCCATGCATGCTCTGATGAATAACCTTTATCTTTATCATCTTGTAGTAACCATCATTACAGCAGTTCAAAAAGTGCACCTACTCATTATACGGACACATATTGCTATCCAAAGCAGAAGGGATATCTAGATCGGTAGGCCTATATGTCTCATTGTCTCTTGACGTGTCAAAGTATATTGTCAATAAATTAAATAAATTGTGGCTGTCCTTCAAGGACAACTTAGTTGCAAAGAGCAAGTTGAGGGAGACGTAAAAGACAATTTCCCCATGGGGATTATCACTTGGCGCCATGATGGTCGATGTGCACAATGATACTACCAGCCTTGGACCAGGACACCACCACCGGTGAAACACTTTTATATATTTTTGTTCGAAAGGAAAAGTAATCGGGGGAAAAGCTGTCCAGAGGAGAGGACGCTGGCGTTGTATGTTCGCCGCTTCTCCATCCGAGTTTTATCCTAATTTTATCGCGTTTTTACTGTTTTTCATTGGACTTTATTGAGTTTTATCTGTCTGACTGTCGTAGTAAAATCTTATACTATCCTTGGTTACCGATCAGTAAAACTTTTTGGATAGTTATCAAACATACCAGCGGCTACGAGGCAAACAATTTTGATTGTTGGGCAGCTACTGCATGCCAGTGGTCTCTTAATGACATATGGGGAGTTTCTTGAGACATTTAAAATACCTACAGTATTAAACCTAAAGAATATGACTTTTTAAGGCTGTTATAGAATAGAAATATGTGAAATGTATTTTTTAAAATACTGTTGTTTATTTTAATACTTTGCTTGGTAGCTGTATTTCGTATATTTTAAATGACACAATTACAAATTGGGTATTTTGTATCAAAATACATTTTGATGCATTTTCCCCTTCTCTGGTAATGAGAAACAACTTAGCATCACTGTATTAATGTACAGTAAGGTAACTTAGCATCAGTCTTTGAGTGATAAACAGTAGCCAGTATTACTGTAAGATTTTGTAGCAATGAGAAGCAGTTTAGCATCACTGTAGTACTGTGAAATAGCTTAGCGTCAGTATAGCAATGAGAATCAGCTTAGTGTCACTGTAGTAGTGTGAAATAGCTTAGCGTCGGTGTAGCTCTTAGAAACAGCTTAGTGTTTGTGTAGCAATGTAAGATAATGAGAAACAGATCTGAAAAATGGGTGTGTTGGGGATTTGTTTGGAATTAATCCCTGTTCACCAGATCTCTCAGTCTCACTGCCTGTGCTTCTCTACTATGGAGCTCATCCCAAGTCTGAAGGTAGGAAGATGCTGTTCAGCTGTAAACGATACAGCACACAGTCACCTTCTAGTGCTCGCATGTTTTATGATCTTATATGTGACTCCCTCATTTGTGCACAATCGCCCCCCCCCCCCACAATGATCTGCCTGTGCGCCACTCTGAAATGAACCAACATCGCCACACAGAAGTTATGAACCAATAACATCAGGATGTGTTTCTGTCAGCAAGCTGTGGTCTGACTCTCGCTGACTCTCTCTGACTCCTCTCTTACTCACTGACTCTTACTGACTCCCTGCTGATTGCCCCATAACTGATTCCCTTTGACTGTCTCTGATTCACTGTAAATGCGGGCGGCAGAGAGTGAGGGAGGAAAGGAATGAGGAGGTTCCGGGAGTCAGTTGGGGTTAATCTGTGAATTTTCTCGGATGACGCACGCCCATATTCCCCCACCTCATCTCCCCCCCCCCCCCCCCACGTCTCATTTGCGCTGTGAGCACGCGAAGGTCAGACTGCAGCCTGCCTACTCCTCGCACTGCCTGCCACACCTTCACAGGTAAAAACCTCCTCCATTTTACCTGCATTTTAACTGTGTGTATGTGTGTGTGTGTGTGTGGGGGGGGGTTTGTTTACCTAGCAGGACACTTGGAGTTCAGTGTTTAGCACCCAGCAGATGTGTCTCCGTCTGCTTGTTCCTGTCCGTTTCCTTACATGGGAGATGTGGTGATTTCAGTGCCAGGAACCTTGTCTGTAGTGGAGCAGTGCTCAGGACTGCCGTCTCACACCTCTGGGACCAGGGTTTGAATCTCGGCCATTTCTGCCTTTGTGAGGGGTTTACATGTTCTCTTTGTGTTGTTGTGGGGCTTCCCTGGGGTACTCCAATCCCCCCCACCCCATGATGTCCAAAAACATGCTGAGGTCAATTGGAGTTACCAAATAGCCCCTAAGTATGTGTGTGTGAGTGTATGTGTGTGTGAGTGTATGAGTGTGCCCTGTGACAGGTTGGTGCCCCATCCAGGGCTGTTCCCTGCTTTGCACCTGTAGCTTACAAGTTAGGTGACCCTGAATAAGACAGGTGGGTACAGAAATTGGTTAGATGAAACTGTACACTGTTCAGCTGTACTGTTGGCCACGGTAACTTCAGTGTTGGTCTGGACTGATGTATTGCGTGCTGCTGGAGGTGTGGTATGGGCACCTATGACTGTGGTTAAAACATGAGAGACTGCTAGAATGTAACCAAAAACAACAACACGGGGAAGATATTCAATGTAGAAAGGCAAATGGGACCCTGTCCTACATCGGAAAGCCAGTCAGACCTCAAGGAACGAGAATGGAGGCAAAGAGCTTGGAGATTTTTAAACAGCAAAGTGTTTGGAGGGTCAGGAGAGCAGATGTGGCAGACAATTTTTGCTTAAGAAGTTCATACAACAGATTTAATACACTGAGATTATAGCATACAGCGGGTTGGATGAGCGGGTTGATGTCCGCACAAATACACACACACACAGACAGACGCACACAAATCTGCACACACCACACCAAGATATAGACACTCAGACAGAGAGACAGACACAGCCAGAGCTGTACACATATGAATTACGCAAGCTGACAGTGAGGCTTGCGAGATGCTTGACCCCAGCATGCACCTTGATGCACTGTGGGTGTGGTCAGGGCTGCCCACCATCAGCGGCTCCAATCACAGCGTTTGTTCCTGGTGTGCTGGTGCCAGGGAATTATGGGATTATATCTCCATCTCTCTGAAAAGCTCGCAGCAAACAATCAGCTGTTGAAAGTAATCCTACTAAGCACACAGATACAGAAACATATATAAACACATTATACAGTATTATACATACACACAGACGCAGACTAATGCCATACTGTGCAGAAGTCTTAGGCAGTTCAAAGAAATGTTTAAAGCTATTTATCTAGGTAGTAAGTACACTTTTGCTCAGAACAAAAAACACAAGTTAACATAAGAACATATGCAAATTAAGAGTAATATAATAAAAACTAGTAGTAATTTCTTCTGTTTTCCAGAAAGTTACTGAAATCTAGTTGGACGGCTAAATGAACACCGATTAGATTCCCAAACCTCTCCTCAGGGGCACCTCAAGCATTGCATGTATTTATTAAATTTCAAAAACAGCTCACCTAATTAATTAAATTAATAACTTTAAAAAGTCAGCGAGATATAGATTAACCATACGAGGTGTGCTAGTGGTCAAGTCAAAAAACACGAGTGCACTGAATGGTTGCTGCAAAAACTGCGGTGATTTTAGCAGAAGTTTTGGAATGGCTAAGCTAACACACTTTGACAAGCATAATAGCATAGTTTTACACCAACATTAAATATCACTTTTGCACAGTACTGTATATAAATACGTACACACATTTTATATATACACACAGATACTGACAAGTACATAATCATATATTCACACATTTTATATATACACACATACAGACAAGTACATAAACATATATTCACACATTTTATATATAAACACATACAGACATGTTTGTAGCCCCATAGCCTGTGCCCCCTATTTAAAAAATATTACAAAAATAGGACATTCTCAAAATAAAATGCTTAAAAACACCTAATCAACTTGCATAACATTCACAAACATGGTCTGGTTTACATCCTGCTAACCAAACACAAATCAATTTCTAAGTTTTACTTACACAGATAAACATACTCAGACTGCAAAGCTGTTTGCGGTATTGTGTTTTTCTCTTGGTATTATAAGCATTCTGCATATCCCTGCTACTGTACAAAAACATTATTTTCAAAGCTTTGACCTTCAACAACAAGTGATATAAATCTTGTCTTGATCTTTGGTCAGCTTTTCCCACAGTTGGTCCAAATTACCCAGCCTTGAATATTGCAAATAAAAGTGTAAAAAGTGCTTTATTTGGGTTTAATTGTAGTTTATTCTGCTTAATTCCATTCCTGGCTCTGTATCCTAATTTTAAAAACTGATTACTGGTGTGCCCTCCTCACTGAGCGGCCAGCTATGGCCAACAGTGACCTGCACGATGAAGCTTTATGAAAACGTGAGGATTGTGATATATTGTTGAATTTGTCATTTTACTGGCTATTTGTTTCTTCCTGAATTCAAGTAGCTGCAGGTTAATGGGTGGCTGAGAGATCCATCAAAAGGGAGGGTTGATAATCCCCGTGTTATGAGACGGTTGTGTGAGAACCCTTCCCATTCAGCAAAGACTCAATGGTCTGAACCGTGGCAGGGCTTATTATGTTCAATAGGGCAAGAGTTCCATACTGAATGCTGTTAATCGTGTGTATATGCAGTGTACCTGCTGAAATGCACTGGTGAATATGGAGGAGGTCACGGAGGGTTACATTTTGCAGTTTGGCCATTTTAGCTCATTTTTAGGATTATGAAGGATATTGATCATTGGACCCATACGCAGATACACATTTCGAGATCAGCATACTTTGAGCGATGACTGCTTTGCTATTCATGTAAACAAACAATAAGTGCACATTTTGGCTGGCAGTCATGTAGAAATTTTATTATATTTCATTAATATGTTTTAATGTTATCTAAGTAGCTTTTTGACCAGATAATGTTTATAATTATGATTTTTTTTAAGTCTGCTAACTAGAAGACATCCTAGAGGGGTGCCGGCAAAGGGCACATCTTATATATACACATACAGATTCAGACAAGTACATAAACACATATTCACACATTTTATATATACACACCCATGCAGACAAGTATATAAACACATTTTTACACATTTTATATATACACACATTTACAGACAAGTATAAAAATGCATACACCAAATACAGACACTCATCTACTTATGAACTTTCAGACATACGAACGAAGAGGACTGTAAGTCCAAATTGTGTTCCTTGGGCTCCCGTTTCCTGTCCGCAACATCTTTTTGTTTTTTCTGAGCGCCAATTCCAGGTAGTACAACTTCTGGCTGCTACTCCTGGCGTGCAGTAGCGTAGCATGCGTACTCCCAGCATATCCTAGTTCTTTGTACTTGCGTATACCCTTAAAATGGTGTCGAATAACGACTTACGAACATTTCAAGTTACGAACGGCTGTTTGGAACGTATCTCAGTCGTACACACACACACACACACTGGCTGCTGGACCAATTCTGTATGCTTATTTATGTCCAGACTCAGCTGCTACTGCTAGCATGCTGGTAGGACACACAGACACACAAAGACACAGACAGACACAAACAGACGCATGCATACACACAGACACACATAGACAAACACTTGGACATAGTCAGACACAGACACACAGCCAGACTCACACAGACAGACATGGAATATACAGACAGACACAGAACACACAGCCAGACACACACAGACAGACAGACATGGAACACACAGCCAGACACACACAGACGGACACAGACAGACACACACACACACAGACAGACACGGAACATACAGCCAGACACAGACACCCACAGACAGACAGACACAGACGTACACAGATAAACACAGACAGAGACACACTCACTGCCCCCCGTCTGCACAGCTCCTGGGCTTGCTCTCTCATCCTCGCATCCTCCTGTCACTCTTAAATCACAGTATAACGGCACCAGTGCTCTGCCTCATAGGATGGCGAGCCTTCACATAGCCTCTGGAGTGGGACATCAGCCCCAGGGTCGAGGACTTCCTGTATGGTGTAATTAGCACGCTGTTGGCCTCTCGTTTTTGGATTCCATGGCCCGTGGCAAGTGCACACACTACACACCTATCAATGACATTAAAAGCTTCTGGGAAATTTAAAACCAAACTGGGCATGAGTGCCTATCACTAGCTGTGTCTGCTATGGGCATAAATCACCAGGAGTGAGCCCAGCTGTGGCGATACCTCATGCAGACTGAGCAAAAGGAATGCCTCAAGCTTTATTTCTGTGCCTTCCTGCAGGATGACCAGCAGGGGGCAGTGTGTGGGACGAGCCGAGCCTCTAAGTAAGAATGGCCGGATGCACCCCTGTGCTTGGATCATTGAAAACTTGCTGCTTACACTCACTGTGCTAGGTGAGCAAAATCACCTCTATGTTCGGCAGTGCTTGTGTGCGTGTGGCAGCCCTTGTTTGTGTGTGGCAGTGCTTCTGTGTGCGTGTGTGTGGCAGTGCTCATGTGTCTGTGGCAGTGCCTTTGTTTACATGTGGCAGTGCTCGTGTGTCTGTGGCAGTGCTTTTGTTTACATGTGGCAGTGCTCATGTGTCTGTGGCAGTGCCTTTGTTTACATGTGGCAGTGCTCGTGTGTCTGTGGCAGCGCTTTTGTGTGTGTGTGTGTGTGTGTGTGCATAAAATTAACTGCGATTCTGTCACAGTGCAGTCTGCATATCAAACATATTTCCCCCTGTGTGACCCAGGCACACCTACAGCGTACCCTGACAGCTCTCCTCTTCCACCCCCCCCCACCATGTGACCCAGCCACTCCCCCAGCGTACCCTGACAATTCTCCTCTTTCCCCCGTGTGACCCAGGTGTGGTCCTGGGCTCCATGTTTGGAATGTTGCTGCGATACATACCTGACCTGGATTCCAGCTCGCTGATGCTCATCTCCTTTCCTGGTGACATCCTGATGAGGATGCTGAAGATGCTTATACTCCCTCTTATAATCTCCAGCCTGATTACAGGTTAACAGCCACACCTTTCCTACCATTAAATGGTGGTAGATGACTGTCAGCACCATGCACATAATTCATAAAACGTTTTCAGGTTTTTATTGTCACATGTATTCAAGGAACATTGTGAAATTCATGTGCCACTACTGGCTACAGTTTTAAATTATCCCTCCCTCTGTGTCAGGATTGGCTGCTGAGTTTTTACTATCCCTTCCTCTGGATCAGGATTGGCTGGGCTGGATGCCCACTCCAGTGGCAGGATGGGTACCAGGGCCATGATCTACTACCTGTCCACAACAATCATTGCAGCAGTACTAGGGGTCATACTGGTTTTGGGGATCCACCCAGGGAATCCTCACCTCAGAGCTCAAGTGCACACAGCCCTGAAGAATCAGGAGGTCAGCAGTCTCGATGCCTTCCTGGACCTCATCCGGAACCTGTTCCCAGAGAACCTGGTCCAGGCCTCTTTCCAGCAGGTGAGGATGCTGAGCCGTAGATGTCAATGAACACAGAGACTCACACAGACCTGGGTGACCTCACTGACTGCTGAGACTCACATGAACCTGACTGACCTCACTAACTACTGAGACTCATACAGATCCAGATGACCTCACTGACTGCTGAGACTCACACGGACCCAGGTGAGCTCACTGACTGCTGAGACTCACATGGACCAGACTGACCTCACTGACCACTGAGATTCATACAGATCCGGGTGACCTCACTGACTGCTCAGATTCACACAGACCTGGGTGACCTCATTAACCACTGAGCCCCATACAGACCCACGTGGCCTCTAACATGGACCTCTCAAACCTACCCTCAATCCATTCTATTACCTTGAAAGCAGACTAACATTCTATACCGCTCCAAAATAGAATACGACACACACTGGTCAGCAACTGACATCCCATTATTTTACGACCAGTTGTATCCTGTTTCTATTTCAGTTAAATTTGGCAGCAGAATGTGGTTCACTTCCTATTGCTATAGCCAGTCAGAGGAATGGCGATTCAGGTTTCAGAAGGTATCAGAAAGCATTGATGCAGTGGAGACATTGTCCCTGTTCATCCATGCCCCGGATAATGCGAACCATCAGACACCCTGCGCTGCGCTCCTGCAGTCCCTCTCTTAGCTCAAAATGCTGTTTTTCCAGTATCCTCTTAGTGAGAAGGCCTCCATCCCTGCTGGTGCAGTAATGTTCTCATCCCTAGGGCAGCTGGCTGGCTCTGGCTGTGAGCTCTCTGCCGCAGTTCATGCCCCTATGCGACGCAATGCTTCTGTTTTCATACATAGGTTCAGACGGTCATTAAGACGGTAGCTGTGCCAGTCCAGAACCAGACTGAACCGGTCTTCGTCTCCAAGAAGAAACTGGAGCTGAAATGGGGCATGAACGTGCTGGGTGAGTGAGATTGGCCTGGACTGAGGAGGGCGCTGTGGAGTCAGGGCTTGGGGTCTTTGGGGAAGGCAAGAGCAGCCACAGTGCCTTCGGGAAGTGGCGGGGAGATGGGGGAGTCACATGGTCACGTTCCCGCCCAGGCCTGATCGGCTTCTTCATCACCTTCGGAGTGTGCATGGGCAGGATGGGCGAGAGGGCGAAGGCCATGGCCGACTTCTTTAACATCCTCAATGAGATCATTATGAAGATGGTCTCCATGATAATGTGGTGAGTCTCCATGCCTGTTAAATCTTTCCGTCTGTTGACAGCTGTTGGCCCTGGGGGGGGCATGTCTGGTCACATGACACATATGTCTCGCTCAACCACGCCCCACTCAGCCACGCCCACTCAGCCACGCCCACTCAGCCAAACCCCACTCAATCACATCCCACTAAGCCACACCCCACTAAGCCACACCCCGCTCTGCCATGCACAGGTACTCTCCTGTGGGCATCGCCTCTTTGATCTGTGGCAAGATAGCGGCCATTGAAGACCTGGAGGTGGTGGGCCAGCAGCTGGGCATGTACATGGTGACCGTCATGGTGGGCCTGATGGTCCATGGGGGCATCATCTTGCCGCTCATCTTCTTCGCCGTCACAAGAATGAACCCCTTTGCCTTTTACTCGGGCATCTTCCAGGCCTGGATCACCGCCCTGGGCACAGCCAGCAGGTTTGAGTGATCTGGCGGCACGTCTGTTTGCACTGATTCTCTGTGTGACTTTGTGTATTATCATCTCAGGTGTGCATCTTTATCTGTGTTACGTTGAGTTAAATGTTTTGCTCCTGAGTGCTGAGACAGGATATTGCAGCTTAGAAAATCCAAACTATGATCCCTCCCACCAATTGATCCAGGTCAGGGGAGCTTGTCCAAGCAGGAAGAGGCAGAAGTGAACCTTGGGTGGGATCATAGGGCACACATACAGTAGATACACACACACGACTTACAATGAGACACTATGGGCCATTTTGAGCTGCCAGTTATTGTCGTATGATTCCCATATGCCTCAGGGAGAGCATGCATAGGGGACTGGGATTTGAGGCCCAGCCCTTTGCTCCGCCCCTGCGATGCACCTGGTCTTTGGTCTGTTATAGTTATTGCTTTTACTCCCAGCTGAATTTCCTTGACACTGAAGTGGCTGTAACCAGCAGCATAGTAATAAAAAAGCTTTGTGGCCCCTGCGTGGCCCTGGTGCTTGTCTCCCCCAGCGCTGGGACGTTGCCCGTGACCTTCCGCTGTCTGGAGAAGAACCTGCGGATCGACAGGCGTGTGACCCGCTTCGTGCTGCCCATTGGCGCCACCATCAACATGGATGGCACGGCCCTGTATGAGGCCGTGGCTGCCATCTTCATCGCTCAGATGAACAACATCGAGCTAGACGGCGGGCAAATCGTCACTGTCAGGTAGGCGCAGCCTCATCGGGTGGTCTGCTTGGGTGGGTGTGGCCTCAGTTGATGGGCGTGGTCTCGTTTTGGTGGATCGGCCTTGTCAGGTGGGAGCGACCTCGTCGAGTGGGCGTAGCCTCGTTTTGAGGAGGCGTGGACTCATCAGGTGGGTGTGGTCTGAGGGCATGAAGGCATCTCACTATTTTATCATCTCTCTGAACCAGGATTTGTAGCCTGTCAAAGTTCTTCTGGGCTGCTTTCAGATCCAGAAAGGCTCTCTCTTGTCAGTGTTACATAACCAGGCATTTGTAGCGTATTCAAACTGCTGTGCAAAGTGAAAGCTGGCCCATGTGACCTCTGACCTGGTTCAGCATCCCACAGCATGACAGCTACTCTGGCCAGTGTGGGAGCGGCCAGCATCCCGAGCGCCGGCCTGGTCACCATGCTGCTCATCCTGACGGCAGTGGGCCTTCCTACCCAAGATGTCAGCCTGCTTGTTGCTGTGGACTGGCTCCTGTGAGTGCAGTTCATCAAAGTGTGTCTGCTTGGAAATGTTCTCCAGATCTATGCCATCGGGACAATGTCAATCATAATATGGGAATGCGCCCCCTAATGGTCAGATTAAGTAGCACCACCAAGCAGAGCAATCTGTCTAGACTTTGGACCCCTGGTATGTGGCCAACCGCAGTGTGTGACAGATGGCTGCCCTGCAGGGACAGGATGCGCACCTCCATCAACGTGCTGGGGGACTCATTTGGTGCTGGCATCGTGGACTTCTTGTCACGGGAGGAGCTGGCAGCAATTGACAGGGACCTCTCCCTGGCAGGGGACGTGCTGCCTCTTGTCCTCACGGAAATGGACCTGGTGTACCCCATGAAGCCCCCCAAGTTGCCCCCCCGCTCACCAACGCTGCCCTCATCAATCCATCATGCCTGCCCCCCTCCGCTTCTCTGCTCACAGCCTCAGTCCTGCACACCGTCACCCCCCTCAGGCCACTCCCACTCCTCCGTGTCCCTGTGCCCCCCCTCTCCCCAGCTGCGGGGTCGGCCCTCGACCAGCCTTCTCCGCGCCACTGAGCCTGGATACTGCATCCTGCCGTCACATGACCCGCAGGTGGGTCGGTGATCCTGTCATACCATTAAGCGGGACACCATTAGCCAGACACCGGACCGATGGACTGTCCAAAGAGAGGCACCAGTAATCGATATACATGCAATATGCATGCACAGCAGCATAGACTGGAGAATCACTTATGAACACTCAAGGAAAACAATGTATATGTAGGGAATATGTAGGATCTTTATACAACAAGTTAACTGGTGTATATAGGAGGTATGTACAGTGGTACCTCAGAACTCGAACTTAATCCATTCAGAACTCGGATTCGAATCCTAAAAAGTTTGAGTTCTGACCGAATTTTCCCCATAAGAAATAATGGAAAACCAATTAATTGGCCCCAAAAAATTATACCTAAATATGTTTTTTTAGCATTTAAACACAAAATGAACAGGATAAAACAAGAAGATCATATACTAAACACATATAAGCACATTTATCAAAACAGTAATTTTGTCACACCGCACGCAGGACGAGTGAGCAGGGAGCGCGGAATCAGGGTCAGGCAGACGGAAATCCAAGAACACAGGGTTTATTGCTGGCAAACAAAGCACAACACGCAGTAGAAGTCAATGACAGGACTGGGGAAACATACTTGAACGCGGACTTAAGTACACATAACTAATTGGAAATAACGACAAATAGCTGATGACATCGGGATATCACATGAGGTTAACGAGGGGGATGTAGCACACAGGAGGATCGTACAAGCCGGGCGTGACAAATTTGTAAAGTAAGAAACAATGTGCAATGGCTACCAAAATGATATAAAGTACAGTGTATTACCTGATATTTTCAATAAAAAAAGCACTATCACCAACAAATGATGCTATCACAGCGAATGCGAGGCTGAGACTGAAGCGTTATCCTTTGTTTCTGCTGAGAGACGTGCCGCGTGACTCATTTCCCCGTGTGTACAAGTTATCTTAGGTCGGAGTTCACTGTTCGACTTCTGAGATTCAGATCAAGTTCTAGGTCATGTTTTTTCAAACTGGTTGGTTCGACTAAGAAATTCGAGTTCTAATGAGTTCGAGTACTGAGGTACCACTGTATATCACTGTAACTATATATAACTAGTACATGTACAACGGATATTTATAGAATATATAAAATAGGCGCATGTAACGGTATCTCATATGAATCAGGTATATGTAACAGGTATATTTGACAGTAATGGGTGTATGTAACGGGTGTATGTAACAATAACAGGTGTATATAACAGATGCATGTGACAGTAACTTGTATGTATCAGTTTGTGTGTTCTTCCACCACAGGTTTCCATCCTGCCTCACTCAGGCCCAGCAAGGGGCCGAGAGACGGACCGAGAAAAAGAACGGCTCTGTAAACAACAGCTGGACAGACTCAGCGATACAGATGAGGAGAAGGAAAGAAGTGATGGAGAGGAAAGCGATGACACAGCCTATGATCGGAGACATGCCATCCTACCCTGTGACCCAGCTTCTGCATGACCACACTGTCCCTACTGTGATAGGGCCACGGTGTGACCATACTGTCCCCTCTGTGACCCAACCTCGGTGTGACTACACTGTCCCCCACTGTGACCACACTGTCCCAACTGTGTTAGGGCCATGGTGTGACCACACTGTCCCCCACTGTGACCACACTGTCCCCACTGTAATCTCTGTGACTACACTGTCCCCCACTGTGATAGGGCCACGGTGTGACCACACTGTCCCCTCTGTGACCCAACCTCGGTGTGACTACACTGTCCCCCACTGGGACCACACTGTCCCAACTGTGATAGGGCCATGGTGTGACCACACTGTCCCCACTGTGACAAAGCCTCACCATGATCACACAGTCCACACCGTGACCCAGCCTTGGTGTGACCGCAGTATCCTCATCGTGAGCTGGCCTTGGTGTGACCACACTGTCCTCACTCTGACACGGCCTTGGCATGACGACACTGTTGCCACTGTGACCCAGCCTTGATGTGACCACACTGTCCAAGAATGTATCTACTCTCATGGAGCCATTCCTTAATACCCCTGCCCTCTCACAGAGCCGCTCCTTAATACCCCTGCCCTCTCATGGAGCCGCTCCTTAATACCCCTGCTCTCTCATGGAGCCGCTCCTTAATACTCCTGCCCTCTCACGGAGCCGCTCTTTAATACCCCTGCCCTCTCACAGAGCCGCTCCTTAATACCCCTGCCCTCTCATGGAGCCGCTCCTTAATACCCGTACCCTCTCACGGAGCCGCTCCTTAATACCCGTACCTTCTCATGGAGCCGCTCCTTAATACCCGTACCTTCTCATGGAGCACTCCTAATGTCCTGAAGATTGACAGCCTATGTTGCTTGCTGGCCTGTTGTGTACGGCAGCTGGGCACAGTTGAGATTCAACATTGTAAGTGTTTCAACAAACCACAGCTGACTCCTATCAGCACGAGCACTGACAAACCTCCAGAGTCAATGTTTATTGATCCCAGGGAGAAATTCTGAATCAAACAGCAGCAAGAACATAGTGCACAGGTGAACATAAATATAGTGCAAAACAGACGATGTGCAAAGTCAGCACACGGTGAAAATAAGTAAATGCAGAGCAAATGTAAAAAGTACACAGTTCACAAATAGAATATCCTGAGAACAGTATTATTATACAAACAAATATTTGAATAAATGTTTATTGCTGACTATCAGAAAATGTACATCAAAGATCACAGAGCAATTCATTTACTGAAATGATATTAAATGGTTAAAAAAAAAAACATAAATGGTCACAGTAATTTTAAATGGTCAGTAGAGACCTTTCAGGGACAATGCTGTTGCCATGGTGACCATCTTAGCATGATGTGACATGAGGTGTGACAGGCCCACACTGAGAGTTTTGCTGTCACTCCTTCCCGTCACCAGTGGGTCACATGTGCAGTTTCATATCTACTTCATACCTTCTCAGTCTGCAAGCCTCGATTTCTGTGCTGATCACAGTTATGACCATGAACAATCACATTTTCGACATGTTAGTTTTGGGCATATGTTTGTTTTGTTGTTTGGGTAACATGGTTCTTAGTTTAGGGTGACCAGATTATCCATTTCAGGGCACTGAGCTAGGACAGGATTTGTGAAGTACCATTTCAAATAAATGGCCCTGAATTTCCCTTGAACGCTGAGTTCTTGCTGTATTCTGATTGGTCAGTCTTCTATAACATGCATGTAATACTAATATAAATGTGAAGCAGCTGGACGAGTCTTTCAATGAAGGAAAGAAGAAGAAAACTGTTTAGCCAATAACAGGAGCCTTTCAAATAAAAGTAATTTGTAAAACCTGAAGTAGCTCAAAGTGTGCTCCCTGACATGGAATATCTGGTCATCCTGTCTTAGTCTATCTGTATTTATGAGTTGCTTTTATTAATCTGTGTGGACTTATGTCTCTCTATAAAATGTTGTATGTGTTTTTAAAGTGTACCCATTCAAGTGCTCCTTCTGAACTGACCTTCACAGTCTTGGTATTGTCTCTGTCTATCAGCTGTGTCTCTCTCATTTAAATAAAGGACACATAGCGTCTTATGGCCTTCAATTACTGCGTGACGCTCCCTGTTTTTATGGCAGAGTGTGTGTGAAACGGCTTTGCGTTTGTCCTCTTCAGTCTGAGATACCTGTGCAATGGAGGCATAACGCTCAAAGACACGATGTTTGCAAAAACGGAGTGAATGATTGTGTGTTCGATGCAGCCCACCCAGGGGTCAAAGAGAGGAGAGATGGGGCTGTAAGCAGTGAGAGTCACATGACTTTGCAGAGGGGTCAGGTGACGTGACTCGCTGCTCTGATTGGTGACACCCCCTCACCCGTCTCCCGTTGCTCTCTCTTGACCAAACCCACACCACATGGGGAAAAAAATGGTCATCTGATATGTGCCAATGTGCCTGTGTTTAGATAACCTTCAGCTTTACAACTGGGGTTAACTAATTATGCTGAACTTTCCTACTGAAAGTTAAACAGGGATGAATCATGGCAATTTACAGAGTTAACAGTCATTCACTTTTATTGCAGGCATTATTACTGGAGGGTTTATTTTGAGTTTAGTGAAGATATAAAAAGAATTAAATGTGATTTTATTTCACCAAAAGCCTCTAGTTTTATAGTGCTGCCTTTTCTGCATGTTATACACTTGCCCAGCTAACAGGAAACGCACAACGCTCTTTCACCAATGTTACCCGAAGGTCCTCTCAAAGTTAGCAGAAGACATTCATATTGTAACGTTAAAGGAACATGATTTCCACCTTAAACATATTAACAAAGGTTCTGTCAATGTTTTCAAGATAACATTTTTACCTGAACATAATTTTAACGCAATGTTGAAAAATATTTGTCCATAATAAAAATTTCAATTTATGAATAAATAGTATACAATTTTATGAAACTGCAAAGTGTTGTTACTGTAAAAATACCATCAGCCTTGAACACATGACCTTAGAAGTGTAAAACAAGAGTGTTACCTGCTACTACCTCTGTTTTTGCATAAATGTATACATTTCCATAAATTATTAGTCTTAGCTGTAGTAGTAGGATAACGTTCTGGGAACATTAGGAAAACTGGACACTTTGAATGGTTCGGTACCTTAATTGTAACAATATCTTGGTGGTTCATGTTCTATTGATTGATTTTTTTTTTGTCAGTGTTTCTGCCAAACCCTGTTTGGACTATGTGTCTGTCACAGGTGGTGGCAGGTGGTAAAGCAGCACAGTAAAATAATTTGCACATTTCCGAGTGATGTGTGCAAACTAGTATTGCAGGAAGTGTGGGGTATGTAGCATTTCAGGGGACTGAGCAATTTCCTCTGTCTCTGCCCTTCTTCCCCATGAGCTATAGCAGTGCTGAGGAGGGTAATTACCCATTAACCTTACCAGGGGCTCAAGGCCTGTTTACATTGTAATTATGAGTAACAGGGCTATTAAAGAACACAGACTATTATGTCAGCTTGTCAGTATCAATCTCATATTCATGTCACGTGCTTATCTGCGCATTGGCGATGTTAGTTTGCTCTAATTATAAACGCAGTAGTAAATCACTGTGGGCGTTTATTTGTGTCTTATCTCCAGCATTGAGAGCCATTATTATAGCACAGTTCTACCCAATTCCGGTCCTCGGAAAACCACAGACAGTCCATGTTTTTGCTCCCTCCCAGCTCAATACCAGAAAGTTCACATTTTTTGCTCAGCTGGGAAGGAGCAAAACCGTGGATTGTTAGTGGGTCCCCGAGGACCGGATTGGGAGACACTGTTATAGTAGTAGGAACTCCATTTGCGCTGCTTGCTCTGATGATGCCCGTATAACTCAGTGTGTATATATGTTCATGTGTCGCTATGGTGTGTGGGGGTTTCCATCAATCTTTAATTGGTTGATGGTGTCATAATTAGACAGGTATGCAGGGGTGGCCAATCGCAGCGGGATGAGCAGACCCTCACAGCAGAATGGAGGTGAGGAGAAGCAGCGAGCGTGAAGTGATAGGTCACTGCTTCAGATGGACGGAGGTCAGGGGGCAGCGTGGCTCCAGGCCTTGCCATGCCTTTAATTTCCTTATCTGCTCTTATCTTCTGCTCGCCATGGGGTGACTCACCTGCCGCTCTTATGGCGTATATAAGGAGGTGCAGCTCCGCGCACCGCATCACGGAAACACCGACGACTTTATAACTGCGCCGTGATTCTTCATGTGGAGGCAAGTCGCGCCCCAGCTTCTGTTAAAACTCCATCTGGATGGTGAGTTCTGGTGCAGCCCCCAGGTCCTGCTCCCATGTTTCTGTGTGAGAGTTGGCGCTGTGCTCTCCTGCTCTCTTCCCTCCTCCTTCACACTAGCCTGTCCCTCTACATCCCTGAGAGCCCTCTTATGTACTTTAACGATCAAGTCAGAGAGAGGCACCTCTATACAGGTAATATCCTAGTTTTTTTTATGATTATGATTGTTTGATGTAGTTGTGATATTTTTTAATTTATTTTGACTGTACTCACTGTGGCAGAGAACAGAAGACAGGGACTATTCCTGGAGATAGCTCCAGATGGATCCGTAACAGGATCTCCCACGCAGACAGCTAACAGTAAGTGTATACTTTCAGTAGCATACAGCTATCAGTAAGTGTGAACTTTCATTAACATACAGATAACAGTGAGTGTGCACTTTCATTAGCAGACAGCTAACAGTGAGTGTGCACTTTCATTAGCATATAAATGTCATTGAGTGCACTTTCATTAACAAACAGCTAACAGTAAGTGTGCACTTTCATTAGCAGACAGCTAACAGTGAGTGTGCACTTTCATTACCATACAAATGTCAGTAAGTGTGCACTTTCTTTAACAAACAGCTAACCGTAAGTGTGCACTTTCATTACCATGCCTGTAACAGTAAGTGTGCACTTTCATTAGCACAAAGCTAACAGTAAGTGTGACTTTAATTAACATACAGTTCAGTGCGCACTATTAGTCTAACATTTAGCGCAAGGTGTACACTGCAGCAGACAGGTAATATCCTATAGTAAGCATTTCATTGAGATGGAGTTTTGTACTGAAAGTATTTTTTCACACGTTTGTGTGTATATGCATTCCAGGTTTACTGGAACTGAGGTCTGTGAAAGCTGGTGAAACAGTAATTCGGGGTGTGATGTCATCCCTCTACCTATGTGTAGACCAGGAGGGACATCTCAGAGGCCAGGTAACCATCACATGCTACATCACAGACTAACGTCTTTGTACTATCCATAGAGCCACTCTATACTTACAAGCACAAATCCTCATTTCATCGCTTATATTTTTCTTAACCAATTTGACTTTGAACATTCTTGTGATTTTCCCACTTCTGAATTCGATCAGCATTGTTTTGAGTGATTCAGTCACACAATTCAAAAAGCAACACAGTGATGATCACCGACTCAAACTAACAGAAGATCTTTATTCAGCGGCTGTACAGAGAGAAGGACTGCACCTTCCGGGAACTGCTCCTGCCAGATGGATATACCCTCTTCCTGTCTCCTCACCAAGGACTTCCTGTTTCTCTTGCACCAAAGTCACCCGGACAGGACAGTCCGCGGCTCTTTCAGTTCCTCCCTGTGAAGAACGCTCTGATCTCAGGGGTGGGCCCAGAGGGGGGCAGCGAGGAGGCCCTCGCACCACCCCAGGGGGCCACAGACTTGGACTCCCAGGACCCCTTTGGGATGGAGCTCGGGTCTCGCCTCGACATGGTACATAGTCCAGGATTCCTCCACAGGAAATGACAGCGTGTATAGATGTGAGGGGGGGGGGTCGTTGGAGCCGTTTGCTTGTGTGTTGGAGGAGCATGAGTGATGGAGGTTGTATGTGGGGGGTGTCCCTGCCTGTAGATTGCCCCTGCAGTAATATGTGTGGGGGTGTCCCTACCTATAGACTGGCCCCCACAGTGCTGTGTGCGGGGGGTGTCCCTACCTGTAGACTGGCCCCCACAGTGCTGTGTGCAGGGGTATCCCTGGCTGTAGACTGGCCCCTGCAGTAATATGTGTGGGGGTATCCCTGGCTGTAGACTGGGCCCTGCAGTACTATGTGTGGGGGTGTCCCTGACTGTAAACTGGCCCCTGCAGTAATATGTGTGGGGGTATCCCTGGCTGTAGACTGGGCCCTGCAGTACTATGTGTGGGGGTATCCCTGGCTGTAGACTGGGCCCTGCAGTACTATGTGTGGGGGTGTCCCTGCCTGCAAACTGGCCCCCGCAGTACTATGCGTGGGGGTGTCCCTCCTGTAGACTGGTTCCCAAAGTGCTGTGTCCTGTCCACTCATCACCATCACCTTTCTGGACGTGTCTGTCAGTTGTCCTTGTGTTTTAGTCTTCACACATTACTATCATCCCACTTGACTGGAATATTAATATATAACGCTTTCTTGTTTGCTTGTTTTTTTATTGTACACTTGTGTTACGCTAATAAAGCAATTTTGAGGATGTTCATGTGTGTATTAGTTTGGGTGTGTATTTAATGGTGTGTTGGGCTGTGCTTGGTGTGTTTCTGTGTCTTTATGTGTATATTAAACTCCGTAAATCTGAGTAAAACGTTCTTTACCTGCACAAATATAAACCCTATGCACACATTCATATATATAATACCGTGCATACAGGGGCAGCAGCAGGCACTGATCACAGCTATCAGCACAGCTTACAGGCGTTCAGGGAGGCTCTATGGGAGCGGAGAAGTGATCAGGTGCTGGAGATGACAAAGACGAAGCCCTATTACTGCACCCCCTCACACCCCCCATCTCTCTGCTACCTCCCCCCCCCCTCCCCACACACCTTAGGCCTCAAGCCCATCCAGACTGTACAATGAATTAAAACAGAACTGGGGACACCCCACACAGTCAGGATGGTCTGCCGGGGGGGGGGGGGGGAGTCAGCCCTCAAAGCACATGTCAATTTTCAGCACCTTCACCCCCTTGAGCGCTACCAGAAGCCTGTAGAAGCTGCCACAGCTGTGCAGAACACAGTAGCAGCGCCTGTGACAGGGCGGCCCAGTGCCCCGATGGATTATGGACCAGTCACAGATGGAGACCAACCCCGAGAACAGCAGTACGACTCTGAGCCACACCACCTCCAGACAGTCATAGGGTGGCACTGCAGGGAAGGGCTGTACAGACCTCCCTACATGCCTTTATCAGTTAGGGCCCAGAGGAAGGCCTGCCCTATAGCCTCAGCAGGACCAGGGAGCTGGTGGTGGGCATCTCTCATGGCAGAGAGCTTGTGACACCCAGCTGAGTCAGTGCCAACATAATCAGCAGCCAGGCTAGCCAAACCATGCATACGATAATCAGCAGGCCCACTCAATCTCTCTCTCTCTCTCTCTCTCTCTCTGTTTATCTATCTAATCTCAGCACAATAAAATGAATATGGGTAAGACTTCAAATTACAAGGCAAGACATTTAAAAGAAACCAAAAATAAGATAAATAGTCCATTTTCATTTTTATAATGAGATAATGACCAAGTAATTCAAGTAATGAATAACTAAGTCAAATAATAATCTTTTTATGTTTTCAATAAATAATGGATAATAAAGAATTTCTATAATCTTTCCTCTTTGCCCTGTTGTTCTCTATCTTGCTGTTTGTTTGTGTTCCTGCTATAACTATACATTTGTAATACTTTCCCCCAGTTACTGGTCATGTAATGTAGATCCTGTCTGCGTGTGATGATCCAGAGAGCTGGTGCTGAGTCTCTGAATGTGTGATTATGGAGTGATCTACCGTTGATCCTGTCTCTGTGTGTTGATCCAGTGAGCCGGTGCAGAGTCACTCACTGTGTGATTATGGAGTAATCTACCATTGATCCTGTCTCTGATGATGCAGTGATCCAGTGCTGAGTCTCTCACTGTGTGATTATGGAGTAATCTACCGTTGATCCTGTCTCTGATGATGCAGTGATCCGGTGCTGAGTCTCTCACTGTGTGATTATGCTGTTGATCCTGTGGCTGATGATCCAGCAAAGTGACGTCGAGGTTGTCACTGTGCCGTCATCTTCTGTTCACACCTGGGTCACCAAGGGCTCCTTGAGGTACATGTTTCCCCCCAGGTGTCTTCCCCTTCTCATTGAGCAGCTGGTTAGCCTGCTTCTCCGGCTCAGGCCACTGCTCCTCCTGCTCCCCCTCGTCCACCTGCCAGATGTCTGTGCTCACATGGACATATTCAGTGGTGTCCTCACTCTCCATCTCCCGGTGGTAGAAATAGCTGAAGTTGGAGACGATCACAGGCACGGGCAGCGAGATGGTCAGCACACCAGCGATGGCGCACATGGAGCCCACCAACTTGCCTCCTACCGTCACCGGGTACATGTCACCGTAGCCCACGGTCGTCATGGAAACCACAGCCCACCAGAAGGACTCAGGGATGCTGGTGAACATAGAATCTTCGTTATCTGCCTCGGCAAAGTAGACAGCGCTGGAGAAGAGGATGACCCCGATGAAGAGGAAGAAGATGAGCAGAGCCAGCTCGCGCAGACTGGCCCTCAGCGTCTGGCCCAAGATCTGCAGGCCCTTCGAATGACGGGACAGCTTAAAGATGCGGAAGACGCGGACCAGCCTGATGACCCTGATGACCGCCAGCGTGGCGGTAGGGCTGCCGCCCTTGGTGTCGGCCAACTCGGTGCCCAGCGTGACGAAGTACGGGATAATGGCGACGAAGTCAATGACGTTCATCACGTCCTTGAAGAACTGGATCTTACTGGGGGAGCAGGTGAAGCGCATGAAGAGCTCGAAGGAAAACCAACATATGCAGATGGTCTCCACGACGAAGAAGGGGTCCAGGAAGATGTTGGCAGCTGTGTGGCCCCCGGAGCTGGAGTTGGAGCTGTGGTGCACCTGTCGATCGGTGAGATACAGCACAGTCTGCCCTTAGCGTGTCTCTCAAGGTCGGTGTGGAGACTCTGGGCTATGACCAAACACACATTTTCAGACAGAGCCCATCTAAATATAACCAACATAAGAATAAAGACATTCTCCAGTTACAGTGTATGGGTGGATGAGGACTAAAACCTGGAGAGAGGGTGATTGGCCTGAATGGCTTCTGCTGGCACGTCCCACAGAAAGCCATCAGCGATCAGAACCCCAGCTTCCTCCTCTATCAGTACTGCGGCGTCTCTCTGTGTCTCAGGCCGACATGCACAGATCTGGCTGGGAAATACACCCTCCATCTCCGGCGACCCGACTGGTTTATTATTATAAAGTTACAGTTATGTGTTGATGCCTTCTCAGGGATGTCCTTCTGCTATAAATAGTTCCTGAAATCTCTGAAGAGAAACACGAGAGCTCCTCCCTAAATCACCCCCTTGCTCTTTGCACGCCCCCCCCCCCCCCTTCTCATTTTCCTTCTCATTCAGGAAATACCTTTGCTGTCCCTCATCCAAAAAGTGCCATGGAGCTCCTTGGTCTCCCTGCCAGCCACTGAACCGCTCATAGCTTGGAGTCTCAGCGGGTGACGGCGTGAGTGAAATTAGCTGCCCCGTGAGCGTCCCACAACCCCCAGGGAGCGTGCTTGTGCCCCTGCCGGCCTCCTACTCAGTCTAAGCAACAGGATTTAACAACGCGACTAAAATGATCGCGTGATTAGGCACTGATTCCTACTAATACCTTCACAATCTTAAAATGCCTGCACACCCCTAACCTTCACGAATGCGTCCTTAACCTCAGTAAGTCTGTGCCCTCCATAAATGTGTGGCTCCTGCTTTCTCCTCATTATAACCACCCCTCATCCTCCTCCTCTTCCTCCTGCATTGGCTCCCCCAATCCCACCTCCTTCGCCCCCCCCCCCCGCATCTCACCTCCCTTTCCTCCTTCTTGAACTCGGGCATTGTCTCCAGGCAGAAGATGACAATGGACACGATGATAACCATGATGCTGATGACGGCGATGATGCGGGCGCCAGATGAGGACTCCGGGTGTTCAAAGAGCATCCAGAGGTGGCGCTGTAGAGCACCGGAGGGCAACGGGCGGGGCTCCTCCTTGGCAAAGCCCTCATCCTCACGGAAGCGACTGATGACGTCCTCGCCTAGCTCGTAGAAGCGCAGTTCCTCCATGAAGACGTCGAGCGGTATGTGGGGGGGGCGCCGCAGCCGCCCCCCCGACTGGTAGAAGTAGAGGATGGCGTCGAAGCAGACGCGGCTACGGTCCAGGAAGAGCTCGTTCCGCATCGGGTCGAAGTAGCGCAGCCGGCGGTGCGGGTCACCGAGCAGCGAGTCGGGAAACTGGGCCAGCGTGCGCAGGTGCGTCTCGTAGCGCATGCCCGACACGTTGATGGCCAGCCGCTCACTGGCCACGCAGCCGCCCCTCCACGCACAGCCAGAGCGCCAGCTCTTCTGGCCCTCGCATGTCTCAGCGCCGCCCCAGTGGTGTCCTGGTGTATTGCCACCGGCACCCGGCCTCAGCTCCGTCTCCCCCATCCCCACGTCTCTCTCTTTGTCTGCTTGTCTCATACTTCCTGAGGACAGCATGGAGAAAATCACACCAGCAAATCCCTGACAACTGAGCCAGCGGGAGGCGCTGCTACATCGCGCCTCCCAGGCTAGGGGATCGACTCCTCCTCTGTCTGTTGCCCATGCTGACCTCCTCTGATTTCTTCCTACAGCCCCAAGACAAGCAGTCTGGGTAATGGGTGTCTGTAAACTGCCCATTCAATGTCTATGTGTGTGTGTGTCTAAGTGCCCTGAGATAGACTGGCATCCCGTCCAAGCTGCCGTCCAGCCTGGTGCCTTGTGCCGCCTGGGACAAACTCCAGCACCCTCCCCTGCCCCCCCCCCCCCCCCCCCCATGATAGCGGTTAGATGGATGGATAAGGTTTCGTTAACCCAAAACTTATCCAATAATAACCCAATAAAAATAAGACATAACTTTAACAGGACGGTTGCCATAGTAGTGAAACTGCAAGTATCTATGCTGATTTAAGACTTGAAAAAGCAAATGTTTGAACATGACACAGGTGTTTCCCTGCAATGCTTCCCTCTTTTAGCCAAATTACGAGATCTGTACTAGACGCCCTTTAAATATCAACGCGCTTCACCTGAGCACCATGCACAGAAATATTCACGCTGCTTTCAAAGAAAATGGCAAACTCTAAAATATCTAACCGCTACTGTCAGGGACAATGACTCTTTTCCTAGGACAGACAGACAGTTACACGAGTGAATCAAGGTAATGAAATAGGTTAGGGTTAAACAAACGCTAGGTAAGGGTGAGGCACACACACGGACGGGGGACGGCACGGAGTCACTCACTCACTGCTCCGGACGCGCGCCACTGCAGTTCCAGTGTGCGTCTCTCATGCTCTGCCTGCTGCGACTCTTCCTCTCGTCCCGATCCCCCTCGTCTGATTCTCTAACGCCCCCACCCACATGTCAGGGTGGCATGGACAGGGGAGGAGGTTTACTCAGTACCTTGATTATAGTTGACCCTAATCCTAACCTTAATCACACCAGCCCTCTGCACCCAAACCTCGGAGTAGATAGACTTGTTTATAGGTCTCTCTCTTTTCTCTTTGCTGAAATGTTTGTCTTGAAGTATCTGGAAATGCTATCAGGTTGAAATTTAATCCCCCTCAGGCCTGTGGCCCAAATTCGCACTCGACCCCCCCCCCCTCCCCACGCGCACCGAAGCACAGGCACTGCTTTCCAGCTCTCCAGTGTCAAATGTCACCCTTTTGCTGGGGGCCTCACTAGCCCTCTCCAGACGGCACTGACCAGCAAGCAGACGCACAGGTGAGCAGTGATCAGACACACAGTAACAGAGACAGCCAGCTGCACCAGGCTCCGAAGCCATGAAATAACCAGAAAGACGTGTATCTCCCGTCTCAAAGTCTGCAGCTGCATCTGGACTTCAAAACTTTTGAAAGTGAAGCAGGTGGACCAGTCCAAGCTACAGGAGATCCCTGCTCAGAAAATACGTACTAAAGATCCCTAACATGCCTATGAACAACACGTGCACGTCCGGAAACCCCACGCTAAACATTTCGTACTTTTATAGTGAAATTTGTGTTTGATTTCTAAGAATAATATTGGAAAATGACGTTTAAACTCATGGGTTTTTTGTATTTAAGAATCATTACTGGGCGGTTTAATACTTTAAACAAGACTGTCGCCAAGGAAGGACCGTCCGTAAGAATACGGCCGCGAATCGCAGTATTTTTAGCATCTTTATAATCAATAGTTAAAGTATGTTACAAACAACACGCAAATAATTAACTGTCACGCGTAAATTACTTGTATACACTATACATTAAAGATTATATGTTATACTTTTGCTGTTACATGTGAGTGAGTAACGCAATAAAAGCAATTCATGCATGCAAAAGTACATGATTTCAAGCGCTTTTTGATGGGAGTACATTTATGATGGAGGGTTTAATTAACTATGTTCGTACTACATATCCCACAGTCCCCAGGCGAGGATCTGTACAAACTTGTGACTTTTCAGGAAAAGAAACTTTGACAGTCAGGTGATTACAGCAGTGTGTAAGTGTGCATCGGACCAGCAAAGCCGCGCTGTTACGCTACACCGTGACTACACCGTGCACCATGTCCGACACATTGCGGTACTGCGACAAGGTGGTCATCGTTACCGGCGGATCACAGGGGATAGGAAAAGGGATAGTCAGGTCTTTCGGTGAGACTGATCTGTCTGCACTCCACTTTTCTGGGCACAGCCAATTGGGAGTTATTCTGCCATCGCTCTGTCTCTGTTTTGGCATCAAAACAATCTTGTTTTTGTCTTCCAGTGGAAAACGGGGCGAAGGTCGTGTTTTGCGCCATAGGCTGTGAGTATCTCGTGGGACGTTGTTTGTCTTAACTGAATTAGCCCCCGAGTTGTTGCAGATTTTGCACTGCATTGTGATTTGTCCTCATCTAAACGGACGCCGCTTTGAACTTTACAAATGGAGAGAACTGTGTGAAACTCGCAAATGGGGAACTCCTCCGCAGCGGATGCAGGGCGCTCTTTGGAGGCGGAGCTTAACGGCCAGGGGCCCGGAGAGTGCCTGTTCACCGCCTGTGACGTCACGAAGGAGGAGGAGATTCAGGTGAAACCCTCAGATCATCACGTGGTGCCTTTTCCCTCACTCATTAGTGACGTGAAAGTCAATTTTTAGTGATTCGATTCATTTCGTTCAGGTAACCAAAATGATTTGATCTTTTGAATCACTTTCGTTCACTGCAAAAACTACAACAAGCTATAAGCTACAAGTTAGAAAAACTAGACAACAAAATATTGTAACAACTGTGGCCACCAAACAATTTTACGATATATATGCAACAAAATAAACTATTAGCACATGTTGGAGTTAAAACGTAGGAGAACAACGTTGCTTTGTTCATATTGTAATTGTACGTTTATGAATCTGGCTCCGTTGAACAATTAACTTGTTCCAATAGATGGCGCTATAATGCGTGCTCCAGTGAGTCAGTGAGCTGAGATTCAATGTACCGTGTCTGTTGTTCGTTCCTTCGAAATGATTTTTTTTTTTGTGAACTAGTGCCATGTACTGTATTGGTGTCTGCGTTAGTCTCTTGTCTGCAGTTCGTTCCTTCGTTCAGTGAACAAACTTGCAATGGTACTTCAGATCAGTAGCATACTGAGATGGTCAGAGTGAACTGATCACCAGGAGGTGCTTGGTGTCTTCTACCAAGTCAGTCATTAGCTAGCTGTTGTCATGACCGTTTTGCGCATCTAATTCAAGTTAAACACGTGATACTGCACACACTCCATGCAGCTGTCCCTAGAGACTGTATTAACCATGATTTTGTGTGTCTGTGTAGGAACTGGTTTCAACGACGGTGAGGCGGTTTGGTCAAATAGACTGTCTGGTGAACAATGCAGGATGGCGTGAGTCTCTCTGTCTCTCCATCAAACTCAAACAGGCCTAGGCTCTACTGACACAACCCCAGACACACAGCACGACACTTGCATACCCCCCAGCAAGAATCTGTCCACTCTGCTGTCAACCATAATATGTCCAAAAAGGATTTATCCTCTGTCTGCCTCTGTGATCTGATCAGATCCACCACACAAACCAATAGATGACATCACAGCAGATGATTTCAGATACCTGCTCAACTTGAACCTTGTGAGTTACTTCCTGGCTGCCAAGGTAAGATGTCAGGTTGCTGTCAGCGTTAGCATTCTGTCGGAATGGTGTTGGTACAACAGACTAATTATTAGCACACTTTTACAGCCACCTAGCATAGTGTCTACAGTGGTACCTGACCATTAGTGCAGCTTTAGCTCAGTGCTGGCAGGATGGAGCTTTGCACGTTGGTGTTACACTTCCATTATGGGCCCAGCTTCTCACCTTTGTTGTTCGGCCAATCGTTTCTGTTCTCCTCCGCAGTACGCGCTGCCACACCTCCGGCGCAGCCAGGGCAATGTGATAAACCTGTCTAGCCTGGTTGGCACCATCGGACAGAAGGATGCGGTTTCGTATGTGGCCACTAAGGTGAGCTGGGACTGTGTGTGACATCGTGTCACTCAGTGATGTTCTTTTGCTGCTATCACACGCTTTTAAAAACATGGTCTTTGTGATTCATCATGATTTCAGTGCTTTGCAGATACTGACTATTGGTATTATTCCACTAGGGGGCGATCACAGCTATGACTAAAGCAATGGCTATTGATGAAAGCCGGTATAAGGTTAGAGTTAACTGGTGAGTTTTTTTAGCAGTCCTGTTCAGTTGTCTTTCATTCTCTACTTTTTTTATCCAGCTCATGTATGTGTCTTTGTTTTCTTATACCTTGATACAGTCAATGACTAACATCATGATAGGCAAGGTTTTACATGATGTTAGTCATGTAAAACTAGTGTATGATGACTAGTGTATGATGATTGTTTATGTTGTTCTGTTTGTAGTTTTTGTAGGTCAATTGATGTTTTACAACAAGGCAGAGTTACACAAATAAAGGCCTTTAATTGGGTGTCTTAGTATCTCCCCAGGGAATGTGATGACCCCCCTTTGGGGTGCACTGGCTGCCCAATCAGGAGACATGGCCACTACCATCAAAGCGGGGGAAAACGCCCAGGTGGGTCTGGTGACCTGTGGTGTCATATGAGCACCTGCAGTACTTTACACTCATGTACCTGGGGATTCATGTTGGCAGTAAATGTAGCTCCCCACCTCCCCAGAAGTGTAACTAACAGGTGTCAGGCCACGACATAGGATACGCAGCAATGCGGCTGCCTACAGCATAGACTGTGCAGAGCTATAAACCAGTCTTTAGGTCTTTTGGTGTGTGTGTGTGGGAGACCTACACTTCCTGTGAGTCTGTGTGAGGCTGCTGTGTGTCGGAGCGGCAGTATGAAAGAGACACCAGGAGAATGAACACGCTGTTCAGGATGACTGGCTGGTCATGGTACAGTAAATTATCACTGCATATTTTGCACTGTTATGGTCTGTACACGTCTGTTTTGCAATTTGCGGTTTCGTGTTACAGTACTGTTTGCATGATGCAGCCTTTTTGTACGTTGTATGTATTCCTTGTACGCAGTAAGATTTAAGTTCTATTTTTTATGTTTAATTCTTATTTTCATTTAGTCTATGTGATCCATCTATTCACAGCTGATTGGCCGAATGGGAACAGAAGCTGAATGTGGATTGGCTGCTGTGTTCCTGGCTGCTGATGCCACCTTCTGCACAGGTGTTGATTTGCTGCTGAGTGGGGGGGCAGAGCTTAACTATGGCCACAAAAGCCAGATTGGTTAGTTGGGTGATCAGGAAACTGAAACCTTACTAAAATCATGTGACAAAGTACTGACTTGTAATACTAGGGATGATAATTTCGTAAATTCTTGTATTATCTTATACTTTAATGAACCTACTGAATTAAGCAATTATTAATATTTTTAATTTGTCGAGCAGATTAACTAAAGAAAAAACTAGCAGCTAAAATGCTATAATCTGCAGTACATTCCATTACAGTGCAGAACCGGAAAAGCAGGATATATGAGCTGTGGATCCTGCTGATACACCTTTGTCTCAAGTGTGAGCGATTTTTTTCGAACAATAAAAGTGTTTGTGGCACATACGCGTGACGCCTATTAATGTGCTGCAGTCTGTCTAGAAAGATCCAGAAGGAAGCCTCCAGCTCCCAAGGTTACCTAATCCGGCTGCCCCATTTCGGGAAGCGGCACCCTACTGCGTGCTGATTATGCATAGCTGCCCGCATGGCAGGTCAAATAGGGCGGAGTAAATAATACAGGGACATCTCGTGATTATTGCAAATAAACTGGACCGACTGAGGGAAGCGCATCCATAAAGGCTGGGTATCTGGCCATACGTTTGCTTCCGCGTTTATTCTAGGCTCCGGCGAGCCGTTTGTGCCGCTCTCTGGGTCCTTGTTTGCATTAAGCAGCTCCGGACTTGCGGTACATCCGCACGGAAGCGGCCGGATCTGAGCTGGAATTGACCGGCGGGGCTCCGTACTAGCCGAGGAGATCCGGATTGCCAATCGCACACTGCCCGGCGTCCTGCAGGGGCGGCGACGCGGCTACGCCCCATCAGACAGCGAACCGGGGCGGCCCAGCTGTAACCCGTGCGCTGCCGGGTCTCCTCCCTCCCACACCGCCCGCAATAACCCAGAAGTCGCGTCGGGAAGCATCCCTTCCTTGTTCCCAACTCGAGGAGGCTCAGCATACAAGAACCAGGTCTAGACGACGGCACCGATAACCGGCCGGCCAGCAGTTAAATCCGAAAGGACGAGCGGCAGCCAAGAGCAGTGCGGAGCCACCCGGTCGTGTCGTGGACGGATCGCCAATGGCAGCCCTCCGGACGGTGAGTAGGGCAGCCACGGCACGTTCAGGATCCAGAAGCCGCCGCTTGCCATTTCCTTTCAAGAACTGTTCATTATGAGATGTGCTGGAGGGGGGGAGAGACTTTGCTTTAAAATCGTCTCCGATTGCGGTTTGAGATAAAGATGTTATAAATACGCATAAAGAGCGGGGCGCGTAGACCTCAGGGCTCGGAAGGGGGCGCTAGCGAGCTGCCGAGCCGCGTGTTTAACCTTGAGCATAAGCGGCATGTTAAGCGCGTCCTGCCGGGAGCCGGTTTTGGTGCGGCTACGGTAGTTGTTAGTCGACTTCAGCCGTGGTCAGACTCTTCCTGTGCTCTTGTGTTTCTCAGGTGGTGCAGATATGGCGCCTGCAGCGCTTCCCCAAAGCCCTTGGCTCTGTGCGCTTCCTCAGTTCCTCCTTCAAGGTACTGACCACGGGATTAAAGGTGTTTGTGACCCCTGGCCTCCTCCTGCTGCCACGTGTACCCCCCCCAGCCCCATTTTTTTCCCCTTGACGTCATCTAATGATGTCTCCCCTGGCCTCAGGCATCTGACATCACGGTTGAGCGCAGCAAGACCCTGCAGCCCAAACCAGACCCGTCCACCCTGGTTTTCGGAAAGCAGTTCTCAGACCACATGCTCACCATCTCCTGGTCCAAGGAGGATGGCTGGGCCACGCCGCAGATCAAGCCCTTCCAGAACCTGTCGCTGCACCCAGCCTCCTCGGCACTGCACTACTCCATAGAGGTGGGGGGAGGGGTGAATTTCAGGAATGCGCGTGTGCACATGTGCGTTGGCTGTTGCTTGACTCCCCGCTTCATGCCCCGCAGCTTTTCGAGGGGATGAAGGCCTTCCGCGGGGTGGACGGTCACGTGCGGCTCTTCAGGCCTATGCTCAACATGGAGAGGATGTACAGAAGTACTGAACGCTGCTGCCTGCCCGTGAGTGTCACCTGCTGCAGGCCCGTGTCTCCGCCTGTCCCCCGGTCCGGGGCCTACGTTTCTGTCCCTCCCCCTAGTCTAAGCTCTTTCTGCGATGCAGCTCTTCGACAAGGTGCAGCTGCTGGAGTGCATCCGCAAGCTAGTGGAGCTGGACCAGGAGTGGGTGCCGTACTCCACTGACGCCAGCCTCTACATCCGGCCCACCTTCATCGGTACCGAGGTGAAGGGGGGCGCGGCCATTCGGGGGTGGGGGGGGGCAAGCTCTGTTCCTGATGGGAAGCCGAAAGCTTAATCATCAGCCTGTCAGACCGGCCCTCTTTTAGCAGCACTAAACCGAGTAGCTTGTTTTGGGCCGTGCTCCTCAGTGCCGTGTGATGCAAGCTCCCCCCCCCACCCCCCCAGCCCTCCCTCGGAGTTTCCCGGGCAGGCCACGCTTTGCTGTATGTCATCGTGGGCCCCGTGGGACCCTACTTTGCTACCGGGGCCTTCAACCCGGTGTCCCTGCTGGCTGACCCAAGCTACGTGAGAGCCTGGAGGGGCGGCGTCGGCGAGTTCAAGATCGGGGGGTGAGTGACCTGTCATGCAGCATGGGGGGGGTGGCTGTGTGGACGTACCCTGACATGGTTAAGCTGTTTCTGAGCAGGATTATTGTGGATGCGCCACCAGAAACCAAAAGCAATTAATCAGTAAAATTAAATCTTTAAGCAATGGAAGAATAACATCATTGATTTTTATTCCCCACTAAACCCTTATCTCAGGTCTATCCTAAAAGCCATATTTGATTACTCATTTTCCAAATCATTAAATTGTTTGCTCTGTCCATAATACCCAGTGATTACACTGTGATATGATAATTTCTATATGGTTATTTCCCGCCCCCCAGTAATTACGGCCCCACCATCGCGGTGCAGAGCGAGGCGCAGAAGCAGGGCTGCCAGCAGGTCCTGTGGCTCTACGGGGATCAGGAGGAGATCACAGAAGTGGGGACCATGAACCTCTTCATCTACTGGACCACGGAAGCCGGAGGTGGGGGCACTGTGCCCGGCTGAGAGGGCCAAGCCAAATGTGTGTGAACGTGGGTGATGACATTTGCTTCTGATTTCCTGCAGAGAGAGAGCTGCTCACCCCACCACTAGATGGCATTATTCTTCCTGGGGTCACCAGGCAGTCGCTGTTAGACCTCGCTCGCAAATGGGTAAGGGGCGGGGGGGCATGCTGTGTGTGAGGGAAGCAAGCTAATGCTTCCTGCTGCTGGTGACCTTTGACCTTTTGTCCCGGCTTTCAGAATGAGTTCCGGGTCACCGAGCGAACTGTAACGATGAAGGAGCTGCTGGGGGCCCTGAACTCGGGGCGGGTCCTGGAGGTGTTCGGTTCTGGGACGGCCTGTGTGGTTTGCCCTGTGGGCAGCCTGCTGTACAAGGGACAGGTATAGGGTGGGGGACCTGGGGGTGATTTGAACGTCCTCCTTGTGCTTTAGGGGGAGTCTCAAACTTTGCCGGTTTCTAACTCCTCAGACCTACAAAATTCCCACCATGAGCAACGGTCCTGATCTGGCTAAGAGATTTCACAAAGAGCTGACAGATATCCAGGTATGTGCTGCTGTTGCTGCTGGGCATTAATCTTACCACAGGATGAAGCTCATCCTTCATCTTAATCTCTGTTCTGCTGACTCCTGCAGTATGGACGCCAGCAGAGCGACTGGACCACCCTGGTGGCTTAAGCGGGACGTTGTGGCTGATCACCCTGGCCTGCCACTCCGAAGAATAAACCCCTAGGCCCACCCCCAGTTCTTCTACAGGTCTGCTGGCTGATTAGAGCATTGTTTCCCAATCCACTCCTTGGGCACCCGCAGACAGTTCCTGTCTGGCAGGGAGCTGGGAGGGAGCAAAAACATGAACCGTCTGTGGGTCCTCGAGGACCAGGTTGGGGAAACACCGGAAAAGAGATTATAAGATATAGCATTCATGTGGCGATAATGACTGACCTTACTCTCTTATGAAGCAGTGCTTCCTAATCCGGTCCTTGGGGACCCACAGCTGGTCCATGTTTTTGCTCCCTCCCAGCTCCCAACCAGGGACATGAACTGTGTGTGGGTCCCCAAGGACCGGATTGGGAAACACTTCCCATCCCTTTAGAATGGTATATTTCAAAGTGACTGAACCATTTTCAGAGCACAGTACAATCCATCACAAAGCTGAGGTAGTTTCAGCTGGTTCTAGACGATATTGTCATGTGCGTTGTCTAGTTGGTGTGTCATTTTTGCACAATTTCATTCACTTCTCTATCCAATAAGGCTGTCGGGGTATTAAGCACCTTCATTAATGAGCCATATGACTGAAATATTCCCTGAGCTGCTCTGATTAGAACATCATGATGCTGTTTCATCCTGAATAATATGCTGAACGCTTATAAATGACAAGCTGTTTAATTTGTAGCGAGTGCTTGAAAAGAGGGTTTATTTTTCTAAAGCTACAAGCAGAGAACAAAACATGTACTGTACTTACAAGCTGAAAGGCTATCAGTGGTTGTTTCGCTGTTTTATAGGTAAGTCAACACTAATGTGGTGAAGTCGCTGTTACTGTCTCTCTGTGGACGTCACCTGACGTGGTTTAGAGGTGTTTATTTAGCGGAGATGCTTTCAAATGTTTTGAACTGGGTCAGTTTAAGCTCATTTGTGTGGATGGTGATTATTTGTGGTGGTGGTAAACGAGTGCACATTAACCGGAGGAAGAAGCACAGAGTAAGGAGAGGGTTGCCTGGGCGATGGCCTGGACCGGACCGGACCAGGCCGTGGGGGGGGGGGAGGAGATGCAGCCTGCAGTGCCCCCTCCTGTAAGTCTTCCACTTAGTATCTTCTGCTCTCCGTACCGTCCTGGTTCTGAACTCGCCTGTTACAAAGTGCCTCGTCTTAGATCAACCCGTCGTTCCTGTTACTGATTCTCATGTCATGTAGCTGTGCTCATGTGTGCTGTTCACCTTTGACTGTAATGGCTGATCCTGCCTTTTTACAATAAATGTGTTTTTGCTCTACTCTAGAGTAACTCATCTACTCTTTCTTGCACGTTGTTGAGATGTATGGGGCATGCTGTGTATGAGGTACAGCTTACCTGCAGGGGGTGCTGGCCAGCAGAACTGTCACCTGATTGCATTCAAGATGGACATGCTATCAGGAGAAGCACACACAGGTTGTGGATGCTTTTAATTCATAAAAATCTTATTAAAATGGTACAAAAACCAGCCATGAAGGAAATTCATACAGCATACAGCAAAATCATACAAAGGTGTAGAAAACTTGAGACTGATATCAAAGTCCTGCTTGGAAAAGACTGGAAGGCACCATTAACTAAAAAAAAGCATAATGTTTTTTGTTTTATGAAACACCATAGAAAAGCTGTCAAAAGCAAAGAGGAAACAGTAAGAGGTGTGCAGGTTTCAGATAGGAGCTGCTTCACGGTACAGTACATTAACACTATGCTGAAAGAGGTCAATATCACACCAGGTGTGTTCTGTCAGTGCAGGGAGCACAGTGGGGGGGCATGTACACAGCCCTAAATGTGGGGGAAGGATTTCAGCCACCCCTGCTGACGGTCTGGCTGCTGTCAGCTCTCCAGCTGCCTACAGTGAGACACCGTTTAGCATGTTCCCCATGCTGCCCCCGGTGGAAGGATTGGGCACTGCAGGAGCTCTCCAGCTGCTCCAGTCCACACTCCCACGTAGATGGGTTCCCTCGCTTCTCACATCTTGCGGGTGACCAGGACGGTGGTGAGAACGCCAGCCAGGAACACGCCCACCATCTGCCACGTGGGTGTGCCGAAGTACGACTTAATGCCTTCCTGCAGGGAAAATGGATCTCAGCGCCGGGAACTCACCTGGGCCTCCTCAGTTACTCACCCAGCACCACCCCCCAAACTCTTCGTTGCCCCCCCAGTTACTCCCGCGGGCCCCCAGCGACTCACCCAGCCCCCCTGCTCCCTGATCCAGCTGATTACATGATCCCGCAGGTAGTCTACAGTCCAAGTGATGATGGTGCGGATTATATCAGGGACTTTGGTCACTAGGGCCTGGAGGGGGAAAAAGTTCAATTCAATTCAATTTTATTTATATAGCACTTTACTTTTAACCGGCCAGAACCCCACCAAGCAAGTCTGAGGTGACAGTGGCAAGGAAAAACTCCCTCTAGCAGGAAGAAACCTTGAGAGGAACCTAGACTCGGAAAGGGAACCCATCCTCCTCTGGGCGACCGTGGACCAACTGCAAGCAGTGCAAACAACAACTGACTCAGCTCACTGTCGCCACCTGGTGCTGCCCGGTGATGGCCACACTGACAGAAATATTCCACTGGGAAACCATGTCAACATCAGAGTGGCTCCCCCTGTCTGCAGGAAGCTGTCACACTCATTCACTTGACTGTCCTGTTAATCTGGTTTCTAACCATCTACCAAAACAATGTTGCATAACAAATGGAAAGATCAGCCATGAGTGGGACATAATCCAACAGTCACGTCACCAGCACAGCACAGGCCAAATGGAACGTCATGGGACGTCATGGGACAGGGTACTCACCTTGATGACAAGCCGACAGGCAAAGTAGAAGAGTGCCACCACCCTGCCCCAGTTGAATTTCCCATCAGAGAAGATCTCACAGGCCACGCTGCAGAAAACCTCCCTAGTAGGCTTCAGTGCAGTATTATTTATCATCCTGGGTGAGACAGAGCAGCCAGACTGAAGAACACTCCCCCCCTGGTGGCCACTATGGGCAGTGCCATCCTGCAACCTCCTGATACCCCAAATTTCACAGAGTAAGGTAATCAGCAGACCCCAAGACCCTAGTTTAGGGAAATGACCCCCCAGGTACAGTGATTAAGGAGCCGCTAAGGGATATGACCCCCCCAGGTACAGTGATTAAGAAACCGCTACCCAAGGGATATGATCCCCCCCCAGGTACAGTGATTAAGGAGCTGCTAGCTAAGGGATATGATCCCCCCCCAGGTACAGTGATTAAGGAGCTGCTAGCTAAGGGATATGACTCCCCAGGTACAGTGATTAAGAAGCCACTACCTAAGGGACATGACCCCCCCCAGATACAGTGATTAAAGAGCCGCTAAGGGACATGACCCCCCCCCAGATACAGTGATTAAAGAGCCGCTAAGGGACATGACCCCCTTGGTTGATTAAGAAGCCTCTTACTCCTTCAGCTGCACATTGCCATCCAGCTCGTCGCCGATCTTCTGCAGACACTGCGCCAGCTGCTTGTGGGCGGGGTCACACAGCTCAGAGCTTCCCAGCTGGCTGCGGGTCACTGTGAAGTCCCCCTCAGCATGGCGCCTCACACGCTCATAGATGAAGCTGCAGTGGTGAGACGCCGCAGACAGTGAAGCCAATGGATCTGTGCACCAACAGCTAATGAGTAACACCAGTAGAGAAGGCTCTGTACTCACTCCTTCAGCAAGTCGGCTCCGATGGCCAATATCTGCTCGTTGCTGTTCACTGCAGACAGAGAAGGGTCAGGGTTAAGGACATCCAGTACACGCCTTCTGGAAGAGTCCACCGTTACTGATTCTTTGTTCAGCTAAAATCATAAGAAATTATCATTTCTACGTTAGAATATTGGCACCACACTACAATAAGGCTCCCTTTGCCACTTATGATCAGTAGTAACTCATTAATAAAAAGAAAACTGTATTATAAGTTGTTTATAATTGTCTTTTAATGATTTACAAAGTGTTACAACGTAATTAGTAACCTGAACCATTCATAAACCCTTTTAATTCAGTCTTATTGTAAAGTGGTACCAAAATATTTTTACTGTCTTACTCAGCTGAGAATCCACTCCCTAAATAGAGCCTGTGCTTCACGCAAACACACAGCAGGTTGACGCACTTATCTGAAGCCCACATGTGTTCAGTCAGTCTCGGTGAGACTTACATCACATCAACCTTCTGTTTCAGTATTGCAGACCCAGAAATCTCCTGCGTAATGATTAACTCTTTTGATTCTTTGTTCTGCTTAAATCTCTCTCTCTCTCTTTCACACACACACACACACACACACCCACCCACACACACACACACACAGACCATCACCTAGACAGTGCCACCCAAACCAGCACAAGTGCAGCAGACATGGTGGCAAGGAGCCAAAGGATGTGGCAGCATTAACATCCCATGATGCTCTAGTGATGTAGTGCCATGTTAAAATTTTCCAGCTAGTGAATCAGAAGGCACCAAATGTGAATTAACACAGAGACGCTCAGGCAATGGATTCACTTTGATCCTTCGAAGAGGACTTTTACCAGTGTGACATACCGGATAAGTCAACTTACATTTTATATATTCAAAAGACAATTTTATACCCAAAGCAACACATGACTGAGAAGGCAGAGTCAGACAGTCCCTAGAGCAACTGGGGGCCTTGCTCAGGGGCCCAAGTGTCAAACTGGGGCGGCCTTGGGATTTGAACACAGCGACAGCAGCAGAGGAGGCAGGGGGCAAGAAAGAATGCGGCCCAATGCCCCAGTGCTTTTGATAACAGAAGTTCAACAAGCACACCTAGAGGAAGTAAATGTAAATAACAACTGAAGGGCTTTTGGTTTCAATTTCTGAGTGAAGCAACAAATTTTCCATCAAAACTTCCTTCCTTGTTTTACGCTTCTGAAAATGACATTTTTTTAAAAATGCTGTTACTTTTTGCGGTGAACAGTCAGCAATAGCTACTTACAAAACAAATAGAAGTTCACATTTTCAGAATTTCACCGCTTCATAGGGAAGGGTCTAAGTTGAGAGTTAAACTTCTCTACATATTGTACCTCCCATATAAATAAAACGGGTTATCTTAAAAAATGCAGCAATCCCTTCACAATGTTTCATTCTATGTTACGATTAAAGTATTCAAACATTCAGTGAAGTGACCTGATATTCCCAGAATGCTATCCCACCCTAACTAAGAATAATAATGTTTTAACAAATGAGGGGCAGCGGATAACACTGTTGCTTTACACCTCATGAGTTCAAAGCTGGATGTTGTATTCGAAGTATACACATATTGCAGTTTTATAAATGTGTATCTTATTATAAAACAATATTTTCAATATTAATTGCGATAAAAGAATATTAAAGTAATAATGTTATCGTGCTGACATCGACAGAACCTTTGTTAAAATGTAAAACATGGAGATAATGTTCCATTAATGTGACAGTAAGAACGTTCACAGCCAACTTTGAGAGGACCTTCAGATAACGTTGGCTATAGTTCTCGGAACGTTCCCTGTTAGCTAAGCCACTGTCTCATTTCCCATCCTTCTAATTTCTTTTTGATAAAACGCTTAATTCAAAACATCCCTCAAATCTTTTGAATACTCCCAAATTAGGCAAAATCTATTTCACTGTTTTTTTCATATTCGGTTCCGATACCAAACAGCAAATTCGCTGCTCAGTCCAGCTGGGCACGATTACTATATCTTTCCAGTAGTAAATAAAATGAACTTTAGTTACTTGACTGTTTTTAAATTCTGTAAATGACACATCTATATCGCCCTTATGAGATGCTGAATGAGCTACTCGTATTTGAATACGAACACCGTATGCTCACCAAGCCGATCGGTGACACTGCAGTTTCTCTTAGCTCTCTGCCCGGGCATGTCTCGGCAGATTAGCCAGGCCAGCTACACAGGCTTTCCGTCACCGACCGCTATGTCTAACCTGGCGGCTGAAGAAACGTGTCTGAGAAGCAACGCTGTGTACTGTAATACAATACCTGAGCGGTACTCACCCCTGTCGCCTCCGACCGACGGCGCTGCCATCTCCACACAATCCGCCCGACTCTACCCCGATGACAGATGCGGCAGAAGGGAGGGGCCACTACAGAGTCGTCCCCCCGTGCTCTCGTAGCCAACGTCTAATACTTGTAAAATCAATTGCTGGTTTCTAAATATCACCACCGACAAAGCTGGATTAAAAAAAAGCTTATTCGTCACAAATATATATATAAATATATAGTACGGTATTCTACTAAAGCAATGTCTTTATTCTGCCGTGCTTCCCGGTTCCTGCTTACGGTGTTCACTCGTCACTTCCGACTTATTTCCATACGTCACTTCCTGTTTTGTATCCCTTGATTATCGTGAGGTTACGCGGGTCAATTTAGCACTTGTTACTTGTTACTCGCTTTGCAGCACCCTTGGTTGTTTATCCAATCTCTCAGTCAATTCTCCCTGACGCCACACTTAATACTGAAGTACCACCAACTAAACAGCATATTTTTAAAGATAATGTTTGGTGTTATTTTAGTAAATAAAACTATTATATGTGCACATTTAAACTACCAGAGCTACCACCACCCATGAAATAGCTGCCAAAGGAAACCCCACAGTATAGTTTTATAATATATATAATATAATATATAATATAATAGTATAGCAACATCACAGACATAACCTTAACTCTCTGCAAGGGAAAATACACACATCTGCCTGTGACGTCACTCCCCCGTGACAGATAGAATTCAATTTATTTTTATATAGCGCCTATCTAAGAGATAAAAACACACCCGCCTGTGATCTCACTCACCTCTGAGGGATAAAAATATGTTCATCTGTGATATTACTCCAAGGGGTACAAACACATGTTCGACAGTAACATCAAGCCTAAAATTCTGCAAATATGTAGGCTGGTTCATAATAGATTCCCATGTGTTCCGCTCATATCATCTGGTTCATTATGGTCGGGCAGCGCCCTCTTGTGTTGAAAGTATAAAACATTTGGAAAGATTTATGTACTTAAATGTTCAAATTTGTATAAATAATTTTTGAGGTTTTTCTGCAGCGCTCTTGATAGTGTCCTAATGTGAGGTACAGTAATACCACAGTTTAGGAGACATCATGATAGAAAGTAGTTCACTGTGCATCATTGTTCCTTCAGTACAGTCTATTTCCAATGACAACCGCAGAAACACGACCCACCTAACCCTACTCACAGTATGCAAAACTGAAGTCCGGCCAAAAATATCATGGCCACCAGTTGGTTTAAATTGAAGAGTTAACTTGTCATATGCACAGTAAACGGTCAGTTCTACTATACACTGGAAATTTTATTCTACGTGTCCTTCTGCTAAACATAATTTAACAGAAAACACAGATGAGAAGTACAGATTAAAGTACAAATATAAATTAAGCTACATATGCAGTAACACAATACAAATACATTTATAATTGTCAATAAATACATAGACGTGGTGTAATGTAACATGCAAGGCAATGTAAACAAAGTGAAATATGTAAAAAGGTAGGGGTGGATAGCTGGCCAGTCCTTTGTGCCAGGATTTTAGTGCAAGAATTGCACAGAAAAAAACAGTAGCTCACTGGTTTTAGGTGGATTGTGGCACCTCATTGGTTGTAGGCGGATTGCCTCTACAGAATGGGGTGTGTAGGGGGAGGGGCAGTGGGCTAGAGTCCTTCACAAGCCTGATGGTCTGTGGGTAGAAACATTTCCTCAGTTTCATGGTCCATGATTTCCAGAGTTGGGTAATTCAAGTCCAGAGTGTAAAAGTCCAGACCTGGTCTTTGTTTCAACCAACCAGTCTCTGTGTATAGTGTGCGGTAAGTGTTATGAAAATGGTGCTTCTGATTCTATTGATTATTTGCTTATGTGGACCGTGTCTGTCTGTGCAATGTTCAACAGCATATCTGAGTGGCAACATGGATGTGTGGAGAGGAGTCACAGCTTGTGCCTCCTATGAGGACCTCTGCTGGAGCTACAGCCCAAACTGACTCTGGACAAGACTTAAAGCCACATTTACCATTCAGTGTTGGATAGCGTCCCTCAGGAGCTGATTAGAGCTAAAAGAAGAAGGGGGCATTCCAAGAATTGATTGGCCACCCGTTATGCCCATTGTTCTTCTTGACCGACCCGTTCAAGGTCTGAATTTGTTGAGTTGAATGCATATCGACCCACACAAGTTTTACCAGGAATGGTCGGGATTTCAGGATTTCTGTCGAGATAGAAGCAAGAAGTTGAAAAAAAGTTGAAAAAAATGTGACAGACCCATTCGACATCCAAGTTGGTCGAGTTAAGAGGCATTCGCGTTCCAAGGTTCTACTGTAGTCTGTCTTGTTCTTATTCCAAGACCTTCATCCTCATATTTTTAAGTAGGCCTGTTTGGAATCAAGAATCGGGAAAACTGCTGTCTAAAATCGACTCTTGGAGCAGGATTCCACTCCCATATTCCTGGATTGATCAGCCTTAATGGTTCTTATTTAGCTGCACCCACTGAGCAACAAAATGGACACAATATGTGTATTGCTTGTAATTGTTTTTTAAATGCCGTTAAGGGTAATTCAGATATTTATCTCATTATATAGAGATAACGAAGCTTGTTTTCTTGTGATAATAAGATAATTATTTACTTTCCTGCTCTACTTTGACGGCACTGAGATGAACTGCTAGGAAAATTATTAATTTAAACAAGCGCTTAATTGCCCTGCTTAACACAAAACGCCTATATACAATGTCACCGTACTTTTCAGTACCACAGGAAAAAAGAAAATGATTCTACACAAAATGTAATTTCCCCCTGCATTTTTTTATAGTGGCTGAACAATAGCTAAAATTACGGTGCCCTCCACAATTATTGTAAAGATATCTAAAAAATCAGAACAACATTTATTCAAAGAGGAACAAATCCTTCATCAATAAATAATTGTTTTCAACAAAAACACATGTGCCACAAATATTTCCCTCCCTGGAAATTATAGTGAACACAATGTAACCGAGGCATGTTTGACATACTGCATACATTGTACATCTTTGAGTTGATAGGGGTGTGTAGGAGCCTTCAAGTTGTAATCCATGACTTCCTGATTAACTGCGGCACAAATATAAGGAGACACAGAGGCTAAACTCCCTTATCTCTCCCATGTTTATGGATGGCTAAGAGAACACACAAACATAATGAGGGAGAAACGTTTTGACCTTCGTAAGTCAGGGAATGGGTATGAAAAAATTGCTATGCGACTGAAAATGCCCATTTCTACTGTTAGGGCAATAATTTAAAAATGGACATCAACTGGAACTGTTACAAATCTACCTGACCCAAGTTTATTTTGCCATTATGAACATTATGAAGATCCCCAAATAACACATTACACATAAAAAATATATATAAACTTTATTAAATCAAAATACATAAATCATGCGTTTGTTCAAAAGGCATAAACCCATATACTGCACCAAGTTACATCCCAATACAGCCAACAAGAGGACAGGTTGCCCAGAGTTTGCTCACGTGCACCCCACAGCACAACTTTAAAAACACATCCATCACAGATCACACTAGTGAATGACACAGCAAATCACAGCAATAAAAAAACCATACGGGTAATCCCGCACCCAGACTACGGGTGCCAAGTGGCGCAGCCTGCCTAATAATCAACCCAAGTTATACATACAACAAAGGAAAAACACAAACAAAAAAAGAAAATAAAACTAGCCAGCCGCTCACGATAAACACTGCTACCGGAGCCACTAAGTCGGCTGGCTAGATAATACACGATACAACCAACGATAAAAAATATTAAAGCGACACCAGTGGCCTGTACTACGAAGCGGGGTTACTGACTTATCGGGGTAACTTTGCGAGTAAGCTGATGATGTGTGGTGTAACTTCGCGATTAACCCGTACTACGAAAGGTGGGTAGGTTTTAGTCGAGGCATGCTGCCATGGCAATTTACGCTAAGTCTCAAAACTGCTCCGAGCAGTTTTTGTTCTTGGTTAAGTCGAGGTTTCTGCGTAAGCCAGCCCTATATGAGCACCGCCCCTCCCACTACAATTTCTCGGAAGACAATGCCGGTGTTACAATCAGAGAGGTAAAAAAAAATCTCCAAGGATGACTGTTAGTGAATTACAAAAGCTTGGGGTTACCACGTCTCTAAAACCACCATCACATGTTACCTTCATGCTAACAGATTATTTGGAAGGTATGCCATAAAATAGCCTTTTCTATCAGTTAAGTACAAATGTAAGAGCCTGGAGTTTGCAAAATGCTACTATACCTTTGACTGGAACCATGTTCTATGGTCTGATGAAACAATAATGGAGCTTTTTGGCAATTAACATTCAGCGTGGGTTTGGCATAAAAAGAAGGATGGCTATAATGAAAAGAACCAACTGTAACCAAAAGATCTCAACTGTAAAATATGGTGGAGGTTCTGTGATGTTGTGGGGCTGTTTTTCCTCCAAAGGCCCTGGAAACTTTACATGGCATTATGGACTCCATGAAATACCAGGACATTTTAAGTCAAAATTTGGCTGCCTCTGCCAGAAAACAAAAACTGGGCCATCACTGGATCTTCCAGCAGGACAATGATCCTAAGCACATGTCCAAATCAACACAAAAATGGTTAACTGACCACAGAATCAAGCTTCTGCCATGGCCATCTCTGTCCCCCAACCTGAACCCCATTGAAAACCTGTGGACTGAGCTGAAGATGAGAGTGTACAGGAGAGGGCCTCGGACCCTGGATGATCTGGAGAGATTCTATAAAGAGGAATGCACTCAGATGCCCTGCTCTGTATTCTTGTATAATATTATAGGAGAAGATTCAGTGCTATTTTACTGGCAAAGGGGGGTTTTACCAAGTATTAAACACTGGGGTGCCAATAATTGTGGGGTTCTGTTGAAAATAATTATTTCTTGATGAAGGATTTGTTTTTCTTTGAATAGATCTATTTCAATGAAAGGTCAGATTTCAGATTTTCCATGTGATATGAAGCCACTCCACCAAAAGGTAGATTTTTACAGATCTTTATAAGGGATGCCAGTAATTGTGGAGGGGACTGTACATGATTTAAGTTTGACACAAGCAAGAACATTGTATTTTGATAATTAGATCCAATTCATACTGACTTTTATTGCCCTGATTTGATTCACTGGTATGCCACTTTTATCACTACAAGTCCAGATTGTAAAGGTGAGCAAAACACCTTCATCGGCTATCATGAGCAATGTTGGGCCCCCCAGGACTGTGTGAGTTCAACCCTGTTTTTCACTTTTTATACTGATGATTTGCATACAGATTTACCAAATCAGTACATTTAAAAGTATTTTGATGATACACTATATGGACAAATGTATTGGGACACCCACAGGAACTTCTATGACATCACATTCTAAGTCCACAGGCATCAGTATGGAGCTGGTCCCCCCATTCCAGCTATAACAGCTGCCACTCTTCTGTGAAGGCTTTCCACAAGAGTGTGTCTGTGGGAATTTTTGCCCATTCATCTAGAAGAGCATTTGTGAGGTCAGGCACTGATGTTGGACGTGAAGGTCTGGCTTCCAGTCTCTGTTCTAGCTCATCCCAAAGGTGTTTGATGGGGTTGAGGTCAGGGCTCTGTGTGGGCCAGCCAAGTTCTTCCACACCAAACTCACACAACCACATCTTTATGGACCTTGCTTTGTGCACTGAGGCACAGTCATGCTGGGACAGAAAAGGGCCTTCCCCAAACTGTTCCCACAAAGCTTGAAGCATAGAATTGCCCACAATGTTTTGGTATGTCTATGCTTCTTCTACAGCACCATAACATTATATGGTCTAAGGGTTGGTCCACTACTTGAATGCCAAAACTGTTTCACCAAATAAAAATCTACTCAAATATTGTTGGTCAACCCCTTTAAATCTGACCAACAATATTGCCTCTGACCATAAGCACATCCTGAACAGTGAATACAAATTGTTACCATCAAATCGGAAATACAGGGTTCCACAATTTAATAGGGTTAGACTGAAGCACTCTTTTGTGCATCAGTCAGTGCTGAAGTATGGAATTTAATCCCAGATCAAATATACACTGAATATTGCCTTTAGTGATGGTAATGTTATGTTAAATGTATGTATCTTTAGTAAGATGCATCTTGGGCAATTGGATCCCAAGTGAACAGCACTAAATACAAGTGTAACGACCATCAAGACGCATTGTCATCTGATTTGGGATGCATGGCCACATATCTTCTGTAGTGTAAATGTTAATTAATTTCTGACACGGACGTTACAATAACTGCACACGGGGCAGTAAGACAATCTTAACACGAGTGGTTGGGGCCCCCGGCATTTGCCTTGCATGTCCTGTTGCCACACTTCCAAATAAAGTAACATCATCATCATTCTGTGGGGAGTCAGTTGTGACTGTAACAGAGAAGCTCTTTAATGCTGTACACCTGCCCTCTTTACAAAGACTGAACTACAGGGTTCAAATAAAGTGAAAATTTATGGCCTCGAAATGTGTCAAGGTCTACGTTATTAGCACATGTTTTTCTTAAAAAGTAGTTGTAGTGTTAAAACAATTTAGTTTCCTACTATTATGCAGTAGCACTGTTCTACTGGGATCCGATGCATAGGTTGCCTATTTCATGGCAGCTTTGTGGAAATCACCGCAAACTCCGGGGTGGCGGTTCCAGCCAATGAACGCCCTCTGCGCAGGGACGTTCGGGAGCGCAGTGGAATGAGCGGATGACGCTGTTCTCAAGCCTGCAGTCCTACGTGACACGCTGGCTCCGAAACTTATTGATGTAAGCCTTATTTTCTGTTTTTCCGAAGTTGCCGTCTTGTAACTCGTGAGAAAATAGATTGAAATACCAATGTACTTTACTGACGTATGCACATGATTAATGTCAAATAGTTTATGTTTCGTGATTGTGCAAGACTAACTAAACGAGGACTTCGGGAGTGTCTAGTTTTTGGAAACGCTGAACGGTCTTTAGTGGTTTTGAATTTTGTTTCGCTGAATTTATTGAAAACAATTAGTTTGTGGCTGGATGTTTATTTGGAGGAAAAGCGGACAGAAATCCTGACATTGGAAAGGGCGACGCGCGAGCTTCCCCCGCGCTCACGGTGAGCATGTCGAGGCGGGGTCGCGAGACGGACCCAGGGGGGGCAGCGCCACCACCCAAAGGGCTAGGTGAGTGAAAACGTTATCACACAAAATCTTATTTAATAAAAAGGAACTTGTAGCCATATTCTTAGTGTACACATTTAACCGCAACGTGGAAACCTTTCCGTGTTTTTATTAAGTTTTGTTTGGATGTTTGGAGATTTATCTTTACATTTTATCAGTCCATTTCACTGTTTTCTTTGGCGCAACGTAAGTCTCGCAGAAAGAAAGGTGTGTAAAGGTGTGGAAATACCTGTGTGGAGGATTTGTAATCTCAGGGAACAAGCTGGTTTCACAAAGGAACTTAAAACAGCTGGTTTGCTGAATCATACGACTCCAGAACAGGAATGGCTGAGGTTTCTCAGTGTAATCCAGTATCTCTGTGATGAATAGAGTATGAGTTTTGCTCTGTATGTCTGAGACCTGTTTAGATGCTGTGTGTGTCACATTTTCTTGTCACCCAACACTGATGTAGTTTGGTCCGGGCTTATTAAGATGCTGCTCGTCTTCGCTTGATGCAGGCGATCAGGGTCCCTCAGCCGTAGCCTGGCCCAGCAGAAGCTGAGACATGTAGCAGTGACCGCAAAGTCCAGCAGAGCTGCTGTCAACTCCCTATCACACACTCTCTCTCACTCATGCTCACCATTCCCTGTCAGGTTATGATATGATGTGTGTTGCCAAACGATGCGGTCCGACAGGAAGTGCACGGAGTCGCACGGTTCCCTCAGAGCCCAGTCTGACAGTCACTAGGGGTGCTCCGATCAGGATTTTTGGGGCCGATCACCGATCTCCGATCACTAGAAGCTGTATCGTCCGATACCGATCACCGATTACAGGGTCTACTTGAAGCCTTATCATGTAGCATTATTTATTAAACTATATCTAACAACAATGTAAACTAAGTATTGAAATTACAAGAAGAGGAATATCATGAATTGACAACTGTATATATTGGCAAGCAACACGTGCAACACGTCAACTTAAAACATAGTAGCCTGTGCTTGGTTAGTAATTAGGAACAGCTTAGAGATTGACAAGTACAACTTTCCTGTAGATTGTATAAAATTAAATAAAATAACATACAGAACAAACAGAGTCTTTGACTTTGGCTTTAGAGTACTTTAACTTTAGGCTAAAAACTGCAACAAAAAAGGCTATAGTCAAAATTTTGTTTCAAGTCAGTTTTCCAAAGTAAGCACTCAGTTTTTCTAATTTACTTTAAGGACCACAGGTAATAAGTTGCACAACAAAAATAAATAATAAAAAAAATAACAAAAAACTTGTACCTCATATACATCTCTATGTCTGTTTCTATCCGTCTGCAACTTTAATTCACTTCTCAGGGCAGGCCTGACAGGCCATTGCAAGTTCACATCTCTTGGGATGTCAAGAAGAAAGGCAGTTAACTAATAGAACCACAACTGCACTATCATGAATCAATGATAAATTCTGAAGTAGTTACTTTTTTTCGGAGAAGCTCAGGCAGATTTTGTGGGCATTTAGAGAGGTAGAGAGAGGGGCAGAGAGAGCAAGAGTGAGCTAGACAATGAGAAAGGGTGGATAAAGATTTGTAGCTTACTTCTTAAGCATCAAGGGCAGATTTTTCTTAATAAATATAAGCATCTCCACATTTTTGCCTGACAGCTTCTCATCTATAATATTTCCTGCTGTGCTAAAAAGTCGCTCACTATCAACACTTGTGCATGGGGCACAGAGGTAGGTTCGTGCTGCTTGTGCGAGAGAATGAAAGCAGCTTTTATTGTTCTGCCAAAAAAACAAGAGGCATATGAATTATTTTATCTGATATTTCTTTATGCTTCTTACTGTCCTTGCAGTAGGGTTGCTGTCTTTGAAATGTCTCTGTTACCGACGGCTGAGTGAGTGGCGCGCGAGTTGCTGAACTCTCCCGCTCTCTCTTAGCGCTAGCCAACTTTGAAAACTGCTCATGTTCCTTTACGTGACTAACCTTCAAATGTCTGATGAGGTTTGTGGTGTTAAAATGCTTTGGGTGCTTCCCGCCTCGTGGAATTGGCTTGTTACACAGGTTGCAGATTGCTAATGTATTGTCTTTTTTACACAACACGTAGAATTGCCAGACCGGTGAAGCCATTTTAGCAGCACGCAAACAAATTGTCTCGTGAGTTTTGTGTCATCTGATCGGCTTTTCTATATCGGCCATTATAGAGACTGCCGATCAAACTTCCCAAAGCAATTATCGGCCGATTATGATCGGCGACCGATCAATCGGAGCACCCCTAACAGTCACTGCAGAAACTGTGAATTGTAAAAAAGCTTGCTGCTCCAAACTGGGAGACTTCCCATTCCCAAGGCAGCTGGCGTGGAGCAGTTTGTTCCCACCCACTTCGGGTGAGAGGTGTCCAGACAGGCCATGGGGAGTGCCATAGCCTTGGTGGTTTAATGAAATGAAACAGTTCTTGGAAAAGCAGGGCTTTCCCAGTCCCTCCTTTTTCATGTGTGAGTCACTGCTGTGCTTGTATCAGACAGCATGTGTCCTGACTAGATGAGTCACCGCCTCTAATGTCCTCCTTTTGCGCAGCCAAGAAGAAACCGGTGTGTCCCATCTTCATAAGCGAAGATTTTGCAAGAAGTGAGGCAAATCTCACGTGAGTCTCTTAACCGCCAACCCCGCTGATGGCAAAATGCACAGTATCCACCTTGATCTCAAGCCTCCAGTATCCTCACAACAGCCCTATTCCTGTTTGCAGGCCCCCCAGGAACCTGGACTCACAGACCTCCATCACTATAGGAGACAAAGTAAGCATGAGAAACAGCAGGTTTGCCCCGTAGTGTGCAGCTGGACTGAAGTGTCCATGTGGGCCAGTACTGACCGCTGGTGCATATGTGAGCTTGTCTGGAAAGACGGAGGATACGATGGCAGCATGTGGCTAAGTCGGCTAAGCTTCTGTGTCTGTGATCAGAAGGTTGTTGGTTCAGGCCCAGCCTCAGCATGCCTGTGTGTCTTTGAGTAAGGCCCTAACCCCCAGCTCCCTGAGTGTCATAACAGGTGGCTGCCCTTTGTAGCCCACAGACACCAAGGTGGATGAGGTGTAATGAGAATTTCTCTCTGGGGATCCAATAAGTATCAATTATTATTATTATGAGGTTAGTGATGCACTATAACTCTCGACTCCCTGAGCACACAGTCCTTACGTCTCTATGTGGCATGTCCGCGAAATTCCCCTGCTTTTGAGATTTTTAAATAAAAGTGTATGTTGCAATAATAATCTGTTGTCATGGTGCTGCCGTTGTTTTTGCCGTGCAGCGATACAAGAACAGCAGAGAGGCTTCCAGAAACTCACTGTAACAGATAAATTTGTCTCAGCCCACAAACAGTGCCGCCACCATGTGTTGGTGAGGTGCCCACTCAGAAGTTCAGCCTAAATCTCAATCCTGTTGGTCAGCTGTTGGCACACCTAAGGTGAAACACACCTTTTCAGGCGTGCTCATCATTCTGGCCCTTTTGTGCCAAAGGCTCCATATCAGAGAAGGTTGTCATTGTCATGTTCTGCTCAATAGTAACCGTTTCATGCCAGGGGACAGAGTCTCGGACACGCAGCAGCTAAAAGCAGAGTCTCTTCAGTGAATCCAGAGGAGCTCCTTCTCTGATATCCGAAGGCGGTCTGACATTGGTGCCATCTGTCACACGCAGAACTGTGATATCCAGGCAGATGACCTGCTTTTCCTGTTGGAGTTGGGCCGTGGGGCATACGGAGTGGTAGAGAAGGTGAGACACACCCAGAGCGGCACCATTATGGCTGTGAAGGTGAGTGAGATCGGCGGCAAATTCGTAGACTGACTGCTGCAGTCAGCAATGAGCTGAGTATGTGACAGGTTAGGACAGTTATGCAGGACGAGGGAGTTAAAGAAGACATGATTCTGCAAAAACACCACGAAGTGGGGATGAGTCCCTTGGTGAAGAGTAAATAAAATATCTAGGTAGAGGCTGGGGGGTCTGGGAGGAGCAGGGATTCGTTTAGGGGAGGAATTTCAGGCAAATGAATTAGGGTTGGGCTGATATCTGACTTTGCACGATCAATTATTGTCACAAAAAATATCTAGATTATAGATAATTTCTAAACACGTGATCATGAATGAGAAGATGTTTGTATAGCCTGTTTTGCATTTCTGTTTGCAGCAATACATAAGTAATATTTGTTAAAAAGCTGTTAAAACAGTGTTGTACAGCCTGTAATTTACAACTCATAACACAAACGCAAAAATTATTCAAGAGTATTCAGTGAAGTAAAGCATTCTTTTCACCTTTTATTTTTCCAATTTGAAACAGGAAACTGGAAGTATTGCCCAAATAAAGTGTCCTGGCAGTGCTCATTATTGTACAATGAAAATAAATGATGCCCAATGCAGAAATTATGGCATTTAATAATAACAATAACCATCATAATTGTTTGTATGTTTTAGTATCTCATTGCTTAAACATGTAGGCAAAGTGCCATCGCCATTTGGGAGAGGAACTTAAACAGTAACCAGTTTAAGCATTTGAGTGAGAAACACAGGCATGTTTGCGATGTGCACCATCTTTTTGATGGGGTGTGCTTATCGCAGAACTGCAGGGGGGAAAAGGGGATTTTCTGTGTGTTTGTTTTTTACCCTGATAATGTAGTTTGAAATAGAATTAGTTGTAACTAGCAATGAAAACTCCAACCATCTTCTGTAACTGCTTATCCTCTTCAGGATTGTGGGAGGTCCCAGTCTATCCCAGAGACTGGGGGCGCAAAGCAGGGAACAACCCAGAATGGGGCACCAGCCCATCACAGGGCACACTCACACACCATTCACTCACATAAGCACGCCTATGGGAAATTTGGTAACTCCAATTAGCCTCAGCATGCTTTAGCACTGTGGGGGAAACCGGAGTACCTGGAGGAAACCCCACGATGACACGGGGAGGACAGGAAAACTACAAACACATGGAGCCATGGCGGAGACTTAAACCCCAGTCCCAGAGGTGGGAGGCAACACTGCTAACCACTGCACCACCATGCTGCCCCACAATGAAAAGTCTTTACACACATTTTTCAATTATATCAATATAATTGGAAAATAATCGATAAGGAGGAAAGGATATTGTATTTATCGATAATATTGATTATCTACCCTACACTAAAATGAACTACAGGCACCTCCCTATGTCTAACTTCAGAACAGGCCTGCATCAGACCTATTGCATCTCTCCTCCAACCATCCCTTCCTATGCATTTAGCTTAACTGAACCAGGACTGTCTGTCTTTAATTATCAGGGTCACCATGGTGAATATTTGCCATAGCAACGCAAGTGAACTCACAGATTGGCCCAGGCTGTTACTCAAGACAAATAAAATCATAGATCACTGTACTGTGTGGGGAAAAATCATTTTAATGTAGCAAAAGGTGGGAGGTTTTAAACAGGTCAGCTGTAACTCGGTATAGAGATGATAAAGTAGAGGGGCAAATCTTTATCTTGCCACATGCTGTTAAAATATATGGCTACTCTGTTACAATATATATATTACGAATAATATTTTTATATAGTGCCACTGGGGGCAGTACAGTGGCTTACTGCAGTGTTTCCAAACCCGGTCCTCGCCCAGGTCTTGCTGGTAATCAGCTGTGATGTTGCCTGCAGAGGATCAGAGCTACAGTCAACAGCCAGGAGGAGAAGAGGTTGCTGATGGACCTGGACATCTCCATGAGGACCATGGACTGTCCATACATTGTCACCTTCTATGGGGCACTTTTCAGAGAGGTGGGCAGGCCGGCCCCCATCTGAAGCTGCCGTCCTTTCTGTTTGGATTTTTGGCTCTTTGTCTTTACTTGGGGAAATTGAGATAAATTCCCCATAACTAGCCGTAATCGCTTAGTGATAATTCAGTGATTCACATGAAGTGATACAGAGTAAAGAAGTGATATAGAGCAGCAAGTGAAAGCCCCCCTCCCAGCTGTGTCCACGGTCTGGGGGGCTTGTGTTAACGGGCACCTGTGGCCTCCTGTTCAGGGAGATGTCTGGATTTGCATGGAGCTCATGGACATGTCACTGGACAAGTTCTACAAAAAAGTCTTGGAGAAAAAGCGGAAGATACCGGAGGACATCTTGGGGAAAATAGCAGTGTCTGTGAGTGTTCAGCTGGTTCAGAGGTCATTACTATGGCAACAGAAAAAGTCCTCTCGACCATTATTTCATCTTTTTTTCCTAGATCGTCAAAGCATTAGAACATTTGCACAGTAAACTGTCAGTTATTCACAGAGGTAAGGGTTCTTTAGCATGTTGCACTGTGTGTGTGTGTGTGTATGCGCGCGCATACGCAGATGTGCTCATTCTGACTTGTTCTCCCCACCTGAGATGTGAAGCCGTCCAACGTCCTCATCAATCACGAGGGCCACGTGAAGATGTGTGACTTTGGCATCAGTGGGTACCTGGTGAACTCAGTGGCCAAGACCATGGATGCAGGTTGTAAACCCTACATGGCGGTGAGTGTGAATCTACACCAGTGTCACTTGAGTGACCCTTGGGTAACCTGTGGGTGATCGTCCAACTGGCTCTTTATCCACAGCCGGAGAGGATCAACCCAGATGTAAACCAGAGTGGCTACAACATCAGGTCGGATGTGTGGAGCTTGGGGATCACACTGGTAATTGATCCAAGGCATTCTGATGCATCCAGGGATGTTTAGTTTAGCATCTCCCAATACAAACTGTCTGTGCCCATAGTAGTGTTGCAGCACTCGAGACCGGTCTTGGGGACGGTCTCAAAACCACTTTCTTGCGGTCTTGGTCTTGTCTTCGAATCACCTTTTTTTGATTCGGTCTTGTCTTAGTCTCGAATGTAGAGAACTCGAGGTTTTATTTCAAGAGCAATCAAGACCACTCATCAAAATGCCTTAGCTTTTCTCACAAAAGCTCGATATGTTTGTAAGCCCTGAAAACCCGAGAAACGCACAATGCATTGATTTTCGTTCCCATTAATCTCAGGCTTGTAGCTTTGGATACGTATAATGCAAACATGAATCTCATATCGTTGGAATCAAACTTACTCGGTCCGGTTGTCCAAGTTGCAGCGTTGTGCACTAAAGCATTCCAGAGTCGTCCTGTGCACAATGAGACATATATTTTAAACATTTTCTACTGAAAGGCACCCCTATTAATGCATAAAACATTATATTATTCACATTAGATGGGAAAAGTGCACATTCACTTCCTTAATGACCCACGTACTACCCTTCTGAGAAAAAATATTTATTTTATAATTAACTTATTATAAGCCTATAAATAAAGGGATAGAAAAACACTTAGAATTCTACTAGAAATAACAACAAAATACAGCATTGTGTTTATTAGGAAGACAATTACTTGATATTTGCGCAATATTCACAAAAGTTTGTATATGTATGTTTGATGTCAAGGTCCGTCAAAACAGAGAAGCTGATTGATTGTCCCTGGGCCTCATTGACTCCCCAGATTGAGCTGGCCATCCTCCGATTCCCCTACAAGTCATGGAGCACCCCTTTCCAGCAGCTGAAGCAGGTGGTGGAGGACCCATCACCCACTCTGCCTACTGACGGATTCTCTCCAGAGCTGGTGGAGTTCACAGCTCACTGGTAAGAGAGACACGGACGTGGTTCTGTGGGGGCTGCAGCTGCAGTAAATATGATTGTGGCTTCCAGACACCTAAAGGGAACTATTTATTACTGAAATATCTAGATCTGCAGTTCTGAAGCATGGAAAAAATATTTGGGGCATATTGTAATGAAGGCAGTAGTACTTTTTGAATGTGTTCTGACTAAATGTTTCATTAAAATATTGTCACAGTTTGAGAAAGAATCCAGAAGAAAGGCCAAACTACATCAAACTGATGGTAAGTTTTTAAAATTCTGCCAGCAACAGCAAATGCGAGGGCTTGGACATCAACTCTTGTTCCTTCGCAGGATTATGCCTTCTTCAAGATTCACGCATCCAAGGAAACAGATGTAACCTCTTTTGTGAAAGAAATTATCGACGACAGTTTGGACTGAGCTTCTGGTCTCTGGCAGGACTCGTCCTCTCTTACCTTCTTTTTTTATTTTGTCTCACTTCCTGAGGTCACGTACCAGCATCATTTGTTATTTATTATTCTATGAATTTAGTAAAGGTTATAAATAGAATCCGATCTCTGCATGACACATAATCAGCAGCATGGGTGCCACCAAACCCTTGGGAACCTCTGGCCACCCCCTAATGCAGCTGTAGAGATTTAATTTCAGAAGCGAATCCATCGAAAGCTGCGATGCCCCATCGGCCCGTTAACTGTGCTGGACCTGCCCTCAGTTTGTGTGGTTAACTTGATTGCACCACAGCGCTCCTGAATGAACTGGTATGTACAGTTGTGTTCAAAATAATAGCAATCCAACATCACTAACCTGATCAATCACTGTTTTTGGTAAAAATTATATTTCTACATGGCAAATAATTTACTTGTAGGTGTAGTAGAGTAATGGAAAACCAGCAGACTCAACAGTCATGACATGCATGCTGCTGATTCTGTGTAATTGAATCATTAATTGAAAGGCGCGTGTTCAAAATAATAGCAGTGTGAAGTTCAATTAGTGAGGTCATTCGTTCTGTGAAAAACCAGGTGCCAATTATGGGCCGTATTCAAGTAAGGAAGGCAGCAAATGTTGTACATGCTGGTTGTAGTGCATTTCTCTCTGAAATTCTGAGTAAAATGGGTCGTTCCAGACATTGTTCAGAAGAACGGCATACCTTGATTAAAAAGTTGATTGGAGAGGGGAAAACATATAAAGAAGTGCGTAAAATGATAGGCTGCTCGGCTGAAATGATCGCAAATGCTTTAAAATGGCAACCAAAACCTAAAAGACGTGGAAGGAAACGAAAAACTACCATTCGAATGGATCGAAGAATAGCCAAAATGGCAAAGCCAATGATCAGCTCTAGGAAGATCAAAGAAGGACTAAAGTTACCTGTGAGTTCTGTTACAATCAGATGACGCCTATGTGAAGCCAAGCTATCACCAAGAAGCCCCCGCAAAATCCGATTGCTGAAAAAAAGACGTGCTGAAGAGGTTACAGTTTGCCAAAGAATATATTGACTGGCCTAAAGAGAAACGGCCACATTTTGTGGGCTGATGAAAGCAAGATTGTTTGGTTTTTTTTTGGGTCTAGTGGCCGCATGCAGTTTGTCAGACGACCCCCAAACACTGAATTCAAGCCACAGTACACTGTGAAGACAGTGAAGCATGGTGGCGCAAGCATCATGATATGGGGATGTTTCTCATACTATGGTGGCGGGCCTATTTATCACATACCAGGGATCATGGATCAGTTTGAATACCTCAAAATACTTGAAGAGGTCATGTCACCTTATGCTGAGGAGGAAATGCCCTTGAAATGGGTGTTTCAACAAGACAACGACCCCAAACATACCAGTAAACCAGCAACATATTGGTTCCAGACCAACAAGATTGACGTTATGGAGTGGCCAGCCCAATCCCCGGACCTTAATCCAATAGAAAACTTGTGGGGTGACATCAAAAATGCTGTTTCTCAGGCAAAACCAAGAAATGCCGAAGAAGTGTAGAATGTAGTCCAATCATCCTGGTATGGAATACCTGTTCACGGGTGCCAGAAGTTGGTTGACTCCCTACAACACAAATTGCAGCAGTTCTGAGAAGCAGTGGTTATACAACTAAATATTAGTTCAATGATTCAAAGGAAAGCAAAACCTTAAAACATTCTTTAGTTCATACGGTGGATGTCTGAGTTTGTAAAGAAGAATGTGGACACTGCTATTTTTTTGAACAGCTGAATATTCCCTTTCCTTCACTTTCTGTAAAGGAGTAACACAAATGTGATGAATTTCTCTTCTTGTTTTGATTTGGAATAGAATTTGTAGTGCTCCCAATGCATTTGCGTGTATGGAAATAAAAACTATTATAAGGATTTTCAGCTTTATTCACTTTTTAGACACACTGCTATTATTCTGAATACAACTGTAAAATCTTGAATTGAAGAATAATAATATGTAACGCTTTACATTAACTGCACCTTCATAATGCATTCATTATGCATTCATAGAACATTCAGTGCACCTTCATAATGCATTCATTATGCATTCATAGAACATTCAGTGCACCTTCATAATGCATTCATAGAACATTCATAAGCAGCATGCAAGTACACCTTAACATCCTAACATCCCTTAACAGCTTTAATATACATTAATAACAAACATAACATGATTATACAATTGTAATGTTATATAATGTTTGTTATTAATGTATATTACAGCTGTTAAGGGATGTTAGGATGTTAAGGTATACATACATGATGTTTATGAATGTTTTATGAATACTTAATGAATACATTATGAAGGTGCACCGAACGTTTTATGAATGCAATATAAAAGTATTATGAAGGTGCAGTTAATGTAAAGCGTTACCTAATAATAATGTTATTATTATGTATTGGTGCTTGTGTCACCCAATGAAAATCACTGACCATCCCATTGAAAAATTCCTGATGGCACCCCTGATCAGCACCTAGGAAATGCAGGTTGTCTGTATTTATCTTTCTGCAGTAGCCTTAATATTTGGAACCTCTTGCAACCAGTGAGACATACATCTGAGCATGGGCGTGTTGTACTGGGATGTTTTATTGTACGGTGGGTGTGGTCAAGGCTACATGGCTGTAGTCAGCTGTGCAGATGCGCTGTATGGGAGTGTGCATGTGTCATGTGGGTGTGGTCAGAGCTGTACCGTGTGTTCTGTGTGCGTGTGTCTGTGGTATGGTGTCAGGACCAGTACAGGCATGCCACATAAGGGTGTGTGAGTATGCATCACTACCTTCTTCATGTGTTTTAAACTGGTTAAACCTGCTTTCACGGTTTCATGTGCAAAAGTAGGAATCTCTTCCAGAAAAGTGAACTTGCAGCCTCTTAAAAAAAAATTAAAAATCACATAAAAAATAAGCTTCTGCCCCTGTGGATGACATTACTTGTCCACTCTAACATAGTTGCATGTGGCGTGTCTGATGTACAGGTTCCTGATGATACAGTAGAGGTCTCTTCATGTTTGGGTCTTTATCAAGGGTAGGCAGCCCTGATCCAGGAGTTCTGTATCTGCTGGTACCTGCTGGAACCTGCTGGATACCGGAACTCCAGGATCAGGGCTGCCTACCCCTGGTCTATATCTACACATCATCAAAACTATTAACTGCTAGTAATATTTCACATGAGAAATTATTTCATAAAGATTCATTCCCTGATAAACTCCCTTGTTTTGTTGCACTTTTTGAGCTGTTTTTTTGTATGCATATATGAACAAAACTATATAATGATGTTGGAGGAATGTCAAAACTTTTGGTTTTGATGGTTTTCTGGATTATTCACTTTTGTTGAATTGACTTACAGTTTTGTACAGTACACAGCCAGATGTTTGACTGTCACCTTTCAGGTTAAGAAAAGGTCTCTGGGACCTGAAACACTAAACATCAGGTTATGGCAGGTTGTGCTATCTGCCATATTAGTGCTTCAATCTTTCTTTAAAATCAGATGTGGAGAACATTCTCCTCATTTATGAGTCAGTTAGGTTGCGTAGTTCCTTGGTGCTCTTCACCCAGTCACAAAAGAATTTGCATAGGGTTGCTAAGGTACATCAAGCTTATTCTTGTATTGATTATTTTTTTGTAGATAGAGCCGTTCACTCTGCAGTGAAATCTTCAGAATGCTGATGCCATTGTTATTTCTGGTCACGTGCCATACATTTAGTTTACCTAAGATACAAAGGCATTGGAAACTCGATACATACTTGCCATATTATGATGAGTTCTGTGATTTTATGTCAAAGAAAATAAAGTTCTTTATTGAGACTAACAGCACAGAGTCTGTTTCGCCGTCTCTGCTATGAGAGACTCTAAAAGTTGTAATACGGGGAGAGATTCTCTTATAGCGCACATCTGGGCAGGAAAAACAGCAAGAACTGATCGACGCAATTCTCCATATAGATAGAGAGTACTCCGGTTCTCCCAGTCCAGACTTGTACGCCAACAGGATTAATCTTCAATCTGAACATGACTTGCTCTCTACTGGGAAAGTAGGATATCTAAGGGGACATGTTATGTCCTCAGAGGGTGGTCTCTCTGGCCGGGATTATGAGTGATTAGGAAATGCAGCTTGAGCTTGATGTGGCAGACAGGGGTGGGACGAGGCGCTACCTGAGGTCCACTCCACATCTTCATGTGCTCACCTTAGTTTAATTCAGTTTAAGGTCCAAATAGGATTCATTTCACGAAAGCTAAGCTTAGTAGACAGTTTCCAGATATGAGTGACTACTGTGTTAGTTGTGGTCTGTCACTGGCAAATCACACTCATGTTTTATTCTTGTCTAAAATAATCTGAGTTCTGGTCCTGTGTGTTCAGAATGTTAGGCGAAGCCCATAATATCACATTAGAACCCAGCCGGTTGATAGCTGTCTCGGATGCCTCATATGCCTACTAATCTTACTAAGAAAGGTGCTGATGTTGTTGCTTTTGCCTGCCTTATAGCCCATAGATGTATCTTCTTACAGTGGAAGAGCCCAATTCCACCCACTTAATGTCCTTCTTATCATTAGTAAAAGTGAAATACTCTCTAAGAGGCTCATTGGCTATTTTTTACAAAATGTGGCAGCCTATTATTGTATATGTGTATGTATATGTGAATACCCATTCCTCTCTGGAGCCGTACTGATTCCAGGCATCCACTTTCTATGCATCCATGTTGTTTTATTTTTCTCCCTATTTTATTTCATCTCGACTACTCTTTTTGGGGTTTTCTTGTAGTTGTATGTGGGTGGTGGAGGTGGATTTGGTTGAAACACCCCTTGGGAGAGACATGTGATAAAGGGGGGGGAATGAAATACAAAAAGAGGGAAAACGTGTGAAACAGTTCTGTATATTGTATTGTATTTCATATTTTTATAACATTGTTTCCATTAAAAAAATTAGCTCTATTACAAACCTGTGTTTCTGTTCAGTTCACAGACTGTTTAAGAACAAGACTGCAATTCCAGTATAGAGAGCTGGTGCGAGGTGAAAGGCAAGTGCACCATTAGTGCTGCCAAACGCAGTGATTAGTGATTTTTTATTTAAAAACAAAACACCTCTGCTCCACTGTCCCCAGCAGGACTCTGAAAATTTTAACACAATGAATCCATAACAAACAAACAAACAAATAAATTTATTTTTGTATAGCGCATTATCACAACATTACATCGTCGCAAAGTGCTTTACAGCATCCCCACCCAAAGCCCCCAGTGAGTAAGCCATAGGCGACAGTGGCAAGGAAAAACTCCCTAGAAGGAAGAAACCTTGGGAGGAACCAGACTCAAAGGGGAAGCCCATCCTCCAGGGGCCGGCAGGGAGAGTCAAATACAGTAAATTTTGAGACACAAACGGGGAGCGAATATATAAATATAGCTGTAAATATGGATAAATTGTGATCTTTCTTATATTTGGTTAAATGTATTGCAAATATAGGCTTCCATTAATAATTATGAAATTGGGCTGAAATAGACGTTTCGTATATGGATAAATATTTTTAATCACAGAATGTTGCCACCTTGTGGCCGAAAAGTTATAAAACTATGGAATCTTTATTGCAGATCCATCCGTCCACCCACTTTAATTCTGGGCAGTTTCGAAACTGTTTTCACGGTGTTCTTTGCATGAAGAAGATAAAATAAAACCGGAATTTGAACATCAGTATGAAGCGTTGACTCCCTTGTGACCGGCGTAGTTACAGTTTTCACTTTTGTTTTGGATGTTAAATTCCACACACACACGCGGGGCACGTTTTAAGTTGTAAGATAATACAGCTTGACTTGGAATTATGTCAGAAACGTTTGGGATATACCTGCTAATTTATGTTTTTTGGGACGTACCGGCTAAATAATCAGATTTATGGCAATCTATGCCTATATATCTGTGTCACTGTATAACAACACAACGTGTAGGCCTATATAATTTACGACACACCGCCATTTCTAAGCAATACTTTCTAATGCAAAATGAAACTCGAAATAACACTCAGAAATTCCCACGCTTTGTTAGATCGGGTAGGCAATTCGTACTAGTAGCAAAACAGAAAAAGCGTGTCGTTTGTTGATACCGCCTGACGTCACGCTTCTCCGCCTCCAGTTCCTATGCTCTGCACAGCCGCACATCGTGATGTGTTTAACGCCTTTACGGTTTAGGGAGTGTTGTACACTCAATGCTTCGAATGTGTAGAAATTTCAACAGAGCCTTGAAAACTCTTATTGTTCACGAGTCGCTATCAACGAGTCGGAATCAAATCTAAGTAAAAAAATAACGAGTTGCAAGTCGAGTCATTTTAAGAGCGACTCGAGTCCAGATCTGTGGTTGGTGAATAATGAAAGCATTTGTTTCCCTCAGCTTCGATATTCACTAACTGATACTGATTCTTCTGTTACTGGACTTTTTCTGAAAAAAAAGTTGTGTGCAAAAGCTATCGTACCATCCTCCTCAGTCTAGTTAAACTTTATGATCCTGTATCCGGTTCTCTATACCATTAAATAAGAAACACAGTTAGCACTCTGAGTACAACCATCTATTAAATATAGGCTCGTTATTACTCATACAATGCAACACGCGCTTCTGTATTTAAATAACACATTAACGATTTCAATTAAATCCGCTGCAGAAGACACTGAAAAATTACACTACCAACATATGCATATCAATGTATTACTTATTTACGTAAACTGCATAAAACGCACCACATTCATCATAAAAAAGAGCCTACTGCATATGCAAAGTAAAGTGTATTGTTTGACAGCAAGACAATGCGGATGGTCTGCATGGGTTAAACGGAAACACAATCAAAACATGTTTTTCGACGCTGCCTCTTGCGTAAGGTCACGTAGGAAGCAGGGGGGAGTGACAGCGCTTATTGTCGTTACACAAGTGGACAGCGCTAGTCATGCTGAGATACTGCAGTGCTGCACGAAGACCTTGAACGGACACATTATGGGTAAATATTAAAAGGCAATGCGAAAGTCCCAGAGGCTTTGCATTTCCATAATATATATTTTATGTATGTTAAATTATAATGTTTGCATGTGTTTTGGGAATGGTTTGTCCTACTTTGTGCCCCATAGTGTTGTCCTTGCGTTCTATTGGTCCATGTTTATGTTACCAAATTTTGGTACGGGAATTGTAGTTTATTATAAAAACAAATATTGGCGCAACCTTTTTAATTGCAATAAAGGCTATATATACGTAAGTGCATGCAGTTTGGTCTTTCGTTTTTTAATATAGATCAGGTGTACATATTTCCCAACGCCGGGAACAATCAACAAAGAGCACTGGCCTCAAAAGTCGAAAAAGTATTATCCAACAAGCTACTACATTACCCACAATGCACCACGGCGCAGCTGTGACGTCATCACAGAGTAGCGAGTTTCCAAGATGGCGGCGTTGGGAAGGAGGCGCGGTGTCCCAGTCGACAGGGAGAGGTCAGTGATATTTCACCAACATCTCGTAGAAATTCATCCTTGCACAGTCAAGCATGGACAAAACACGCATCATACACAATTCAATAAGGGAGTCTACGAATTTAAAAAGGCGAAGCCAGCTTTGTGGTCTTGTGGTGTTTGATTTGCCCAGTGGTAGCCAGCAGGCTAATTTACACTAATGACAGGAAAAAGCGCGCGTTTGTCTCGCAGCCTGACAGATAAAATCAGCAGATAACTTGGATTTGAGACATTTATCACGTTTTACTCGTTGTAATAACCAGAGGTAATATTAATAAGCATTAAAGTGCGCCTTTCAAGGAAGATGCTTCCTTTTGTTTTGTTTACCATTGAGTTTTCAGGATTTTACTAGATTTACTGTTCAGACAGGCGTTTGCGCTGGGACAATCAAACGATTTAATTATAATTTCTAGGATGCATACCGAAGGATTAACGTAGACAACTGTTTAAATTTCGAAGTGGCCGAGCTACTATCCTTCGAGGGGTTGGAGCGTCTGCGCCCTCACCTTATCACGGGAGCTGCTGCTTTGCCCGTTAACCGCTGTAAGGAGTTCAGTGACTTTGATATTGCGAGTGTCTTGCATGTTTCTATTGCTTGGCTTTAATACATATTTCACCTAAGATTTTCCATAAGGCCCCTAGATTGCTAATGTGTGTCACTTAAATATACTCTTTAGCAGGTTGAAGTACCATGGATTGGCAAGAGCAAAAATGTATACGATTATACTGTCAGAGCTTTTTAGTGGACCTGTTGTTAACTGTGGTTCTGACTCTGCGGTCCTGACAGCCACATCTCCTAGCTCCTTGAAATGAATCAGAACAGAATGTGACACCCGCCTTCAAAACAGTGAAATGGTCTCCTGAGATTTGACCTGCTGCAGCTGGTCAGTCAGGTACACTGACGCTGGCCCCGCACAGGCCAGGTGCGATCAGCTGCAGCATTCTGCATGGCTGTGGCCACAGAGCTGTGAGCTTCCTCCTGTTGGCTTGACCACTCCTGCACTATGAACGCGTGCTCTAGTTTTTATTAGAACTCCCTCTGCTCTTTTCTCGGTGTTGGGACGGTCCTCTCAGACCAGGTCTCGCTCATGTTCTGCTGTCATATGGTGTGCTCTCTTGTGCCCCCCACAGGGGAGTGATGGCCTCCACAGACTGTTACATTGTTCATGAGATCTACAATGGGGAGAACGGCCAGGAGCAGTTTGAGTATGAGCTGGAACAGGCACTGGAGGCCCAGTACAGGTACATTGTGATTGAGCCAACGCGCATCGGGGACGAGACAGCGCGCTGGGTCACAGTGGGGAACTGCCTGCACAAAACCGCCGTTTTATCGGGTGCTGCCTGTCTGCTGGCACCGCTCTCACTGCCCGCAGAGTGCTCACGCTACGTCGCACTGCCTGCGGGTGCTATCAGCGCCGCCTGTGCCACCCTCTATGCCATATCCTGGCAGTTTGACCCTTGTTGCAAGTATCAAGTGGAGTATGACAGTCACAAACTGACCCGCTTGCCGCTGCACACGCTGACCTCGTCCACGCCAGTGGTGCTGGTGCGCAAGGACGACATCCACAGAAAGAGACTCCATAACACAATAGCACTGGCGGCACTGGCCTACTGCATCAAGAAGATCTATGAACTGTATGCTGTATGATTTAAAGCAAGAGAGAACATCTGGGAGGGGCTAGAGCAGCCGAAAGCCATCAGCAAGAAAAGCAACAAAACAGTGTTTTTCACTGAACCGTTCTGTGGATTGGAAATTCACTGGAACACAGTTCAACTACAGGGGCTGGTTGTTTTTCTCAGTGACAAATAAATAAGCAAATATTGACACCCACTCCCCTGTAACCACACAATGAAATAGCGAGTAGTGAGGTCAGCATGCTGAGCGTAGTGAGAGGTGGTCCCACAGCAGCATGCTAAGTATTAACAGCCTGACTTTGTCCTCCTCAGTGGCTTCACTGTCCCCTTTGCAATTGAGTGAAAGAGCAGCACCTCATTAAATATTAGGAGCCTTGAAACTTACTTCACTTTTCTGTATTTTTTATAGCAAGTCCATATATGTGAACTGGGTCCATATCCTGTTTTTCTATATATAGTTTGGCACACAGTAAAGCTATTTCATATATTAGTAAAGGCTATCTGCCTGTTTTTAAAGAATGGGTTCAGAAACTATGAGTTTGTGTGCTTCAGCCCGTCAGCATCCCCAGAAAGTGAAGCTAATTGAGCTTCTGCCGGTCTGCCCTCTGCTGTCCCAGCATCCCTTGGGGCATTGCTTTCATGCGCATGGGAAGTTGGTGCTCAAGATGTGGCAACTCCATCCACGCCGGTGGTGGGCCGCCGTCCTGGGTGTAGGACCTAGTGTGAGCTCCCATGCGGTGTTTCATCTGCTTCTTCATTGTACACGGAAGGTGTTTAGCTTTCTAAAAAAAATCTCAATTCATTGTCAACTTTTACTTTTAACTATGTTAGTGTCACATTTGGAAATTCGCCAGCTCATCCCAAAATTTGTACGCACAACGAAACAAGTACAACCATAAGCTCTAATGTCCTTTGTATATACAGTGGAGTTACACAGGAAGGTCAGATTTTTGCCTTTCTTCGATCAGCTGGAGGATCAAATCTAAAATAAAACTTTAAAAGTTAGATTTACCTGTTTCAGCAGTAGTTGGTTCTTTTAAACAAATCAGCAAATCTGTCATGCATTTTGATCCATTTACCATATTTTTAGTATTTGTGATATTCCTGAGGTCAAAGTTTTGGTCTTAAAGACTGTTCACAATGTTTCCATGGTTCTTGTCAGCATGTTGGTATTAAGTTTGATCCCGGATAGACTGCGTTGCATTGCTGTGCTATATGATGAGTCTCCAGGAATGAAAGCTGTCTGGGCCGGGTTACTTCACTGGAGTGAATCTTCACACTCAGAACTGAAGGAGCACCTGTTTGTGGACTTTTGCAGCAAAATGCAAGACTACTGAATGCAGAGAACTTACGACAGCTGCCTGTTGTTCAGGTTGCTTCATGTATGCTAGATGTGCTGCGATGTATATATTTTAAAAAGGTGAAAGGCAAGCTGTTCCTCTTTCCGAATAGAACCTAAAACACTGTAATCCGCAGCAGAACCAGTTGTGCGTAACAGGGAGTAAGGAGTACCACTGCAATGAGAATGGGAGTTCTCATACATCTGAGGACATCCAGGCAAACCCAGATGCTTCATTACATCCACACTCTGTATTTTTTGGCTGTTTTCTGGACAATGTTTGATTGAGTTTGTACGGTTAAAGCTGCATTGGGTGGAAATATAGTTACTCTACTCCACTGTCGAATCTGAAATATGTGCTGCCTAAACATTAACATTTAATAGTGTAATTACACAAGTAAATAAACATTCAGTACTTCAGCTGTCCTGGCCCTTTTTGACTGTTTACCCTGGAGATGTCAGGATTGCTGTTGGCTCTGAGGCAGACAGGGCACCTTCTCTGTCCCTCAGCTATGATGCTGTGGTACTCCAGTCCACGAGCAGTATATCTGTCTGCAAAATCACACTCTGCCGATGATGACCCCACATGCATGATGGTCCACAAATCACCATGTACACAAGTCTAAATACTTTGGTTTTAGTATATTATGTTGTGGTTTTATTGATGACTTGTTCCTGCTGGTATATGTTAGAATTTTTATATTAAAAATTAAAAGAAGCTCATGTCACATGATCCAACATTTTCAGCTGTCACATCACAGAGAAAATGTCACTCCATGTGTGGTGAAGAGCCACGACAGCACAGCCGTGTTTGACAGGTTCCTGTGCCCGACCATGTTTTGTACTGTCTGTCATTCTGCTGGACCTCTGGGGGTGAAATGGTAAATCCCAGATTCAGTATGAAAGTGAAAAAAAGACGCGTGCAGTTTTCATCCTTTCAGAAAATTCTATTTGTAATTTGTAAAGTATTTAACTTTCACTATTTAGCTGAACAATTAGTGCCACTTGTAAGCGGCCCTTGCTAACTCACATTTCAAAACGTGGTAAATCCCACCAAACTTGTCACATCAGCAGGACAGCAATACAGATCACCTCTAATGATAGTACAGTGGTACCTCGGTTCTCAAACTCACTAGAACTCGAATTTCTTGATGGTCGAACAAACCAGTTTGACCTAGAACTCGATCTGAATATCAGAAGTCGAACCGTGAACGCTGACCTAATATAAATTGTACGCGCCAAGAAATTAGTCATACTACAATGCAATTCTTACTTGAATGCCTTCTTCACAGGCTGGACGATTAACCAAATAAAGCAGCACAACATTACAGTAACTAACAATAAATAA